ACATTTTTGCTTTAACAATTTGGTGTGCTCTTTGCCCATGTATTTCAGCCAAACACCAATTTGTAATGGAAGAATGTTAGGTTCAAGCTAGACCAAGCTAGAAGTTCACTTCAAATGGTTGACCAGTTGCACACCAGCCAGCTCTAACTGGATGACCATGTACATTCAACTGGCTGACCAATGGCGCACCAATCAGCTTCAATTGGATGACCTGTTGGCACCAGTTGGCTTGAACTGGATCACCACATGTTTTCAACTGGTTAACCATTTGGGCACCAGTCAGCTTCTATTGGATGACCTGTTGGGTGCCAGTTCACTCTAACTGGGGGACCATACGTTTTCAACTGGTTAACCAGTTGGACACCAATTCACGTGAGCTGGTTAACCGGTTGGCTTTAACTGGATCATTATGTGTTTGACTGGCTGACCAATGGCGCACCAATCAGCTTCAATTGGATGACCTGTTGGCACCAGTTGGCATGAACTGGATCACCACATGTTTTCAACTGGTTAACCATTTGAACACCAATTGTCATTGACTGGTTGACCAATTGCACTCCAGTATCTTTAATTGGATGACCATATGTGTTCAACTGGCTAAACAGTTGAGCACCAGTTGGCTTTAACTGGATCACCATACGTGTTCAACTGGTTAACCAATTGGGCGCCAATCAGCTTCTATTGGATAACCAGTTGGCTTTAACTGGATAACCATTTGGACGCCAATTTACATTGACTGGTTGAATAGGTGGACACCAGTTATCTAGAATTGGTTGACCAATTGGACACCAGTTAGCTTTAACTGGTTGCAGTGAAAAGAAAGCTGGGCACCAATTAAGATTCGGTTACGTCCAGTTAAATATAATTGGAAAACCAATTGGCCACCGGCACTGTCCAAATGGTTCACCAATTGGACGTAAACTGGTCTACCAATTGGATATAATTGGTACGCTCCCAACTGGTGGCGAAATTCCAATTGGTCGAGAACCAATTCGTAGCAATTGGTATTTGTCCAATTGGACCCATTGATTTTTTTTGACTGGGTTTCTCAGCAGGCTACGGAGCTGGGAATCGCGCGCGTTAGCACGCACGTACAGTACATACAGTACTCGCTGGTTTGCATGTATACTCGGCGGTCGCGCACTCAATTGGGCGATACTTCGCAGCACCGAGTGCTAAGAGAGAGGATCACGATCAACAGCACGGCACAGCCAATACGGTACGTACTACGACCGACTGAGGAGTATAAACACGACTGTGTCGGCTAGGTGACTGTGCGCTGCAACGCATACGAAGCTCACCTCTTTACGTCGACGATGGATTCTGTTTCGGGCGCACTCCGTGCGTGCAAAAAACGCCGCCTACTTTAAAACGACAACACAAGCGTGTGCTCGAGGGGAGACCGAGCGCGCGCACGCTCAAGAAGGGGAGGCCGGAAGATAAAAGCGTGCAAGGAAAAGTTGATAGGGCGAGACCTTCGGCGGGTCACGTATGGGAGGGATATCTTACCCACTTGCGGTGCAGACGCGATAGCAGCAGCGAAATCAAGATGGATTTGGACACGCTACCGCACGTTGCCATTTGCTCGCGCGCGTCGTATGGTTTTCGATTTGAGCACACACGGAAGAACGGCACGGCGCAACCGAAGCCACAACTACGCTGCGGGCACTGCGTGCGTGCCTCGCATGGAGCGGCCGTCCGCGCTTAAGACGCATCTGCCAAGTTACTTGTTAAAAGGAACAAGAAAGCGGGGAAGTCGATCGTTTAGAGAAGAATATTCTGCGACGTCGACGTAAATGTATCCGAAAATATATTCCTCATACAGGTTTCATTATACTGTACGATTTTTTTGTTTTATTTATTATGGCAAAGGTGTAAATAGATCTTTTTTTTCGAGAAAAGGGGGTAGAACTATGCTTTCATATGTTGTGTATGGTTTTATGTGTGCGTGTTAATACACGCGTGCAAATTTGAAAATTTTCAAAACACTCGAGCCTTTCCCCCCTCCCCCTCCGACATGCCAGTGAACATAGGCATAACGTGTGCAGGGTTCCCCTTCAGGGGGAGGGGGGCGAAGGTTCCTCGCAGCGACCCCTATCTATTATGTTAATGTATATCTGGGCTGACTCTGCGCCCCCCCGTCGTCCTAGTATGAAAGAGCCCCCCTCCCCGCCCCCCACCAAGTGCGCACGTCTATGAACATAGGACTTAAAAAAAAAAAATCATCTGCAGTTATTGAGATCAAGTACTCCGAGTAAAAGTCATTACTATGGCTATGTACAGATAATTAATAAGAAACTCGCTAATTATTTCACCACACACATATTTCAATTTACAATTTTCAAGCGTGGCACCGGTTTCAATACATGTTCACTCCCAAAGTGTGACATAAAGTTACATGGGTGATCCAGTTACTCGTATGCCTCAATGCACAGAACGACAGTCAAGTACAGCGACAGCAAATTTTCGCAGCGGATAAAGGTCTGTGGTGCACTTTGTCAAATGCTTGCCACTCTCACATTTTATTTCCAGTGGAAATGGCCCACGAGCTCACCAACTACCACTTGTCAAACGTATGGTGCTCCTGATAAGCACTATGACAAATTATGATGACTCCTAGCTGTGCCATGAGTATGTGAAAGCCGTCCGAGACATATGATTAACACGATTTCCTTAGCCCAACTTGACATTTTCCGGCATGAGTGTTAGAGTAAACGGTCGAAAGCATTAGCAAAATTTAGCTAAACAGTCATGCAATTAGGTCAATGTCAAAATAATTACGTATACAGAATTTTTTGCAGTGTATTGTATATTCATACAGGGTGTTTGAAGAAATGTGTCCAATATTCTTTAAAAATAAGGAAAAGGTGCTATTTGCTTACAGACGTCACAGTTGCTTTTTCTGTAGCGGCAGGCATATTAAAGTGGTTTAATACACAATTTGTATCAGTAATTAGGAAAGTAAAATAATTAACTTTTTAATTAGTGGAGTTAAGGAGTTTAGTCAAATAGGAAAATTGAATTAATTCATGCCAAGAACCCATTGCCCCTTTGAAAATTTGGAAAAGCAGCCTTCTGTAATAACAGCAAATTAATGAAACTATCAGGAATTCTGCGGGGAAACCAAAACTAAAGTACCGATGAGTGCAACAAGCAGACGACTACAACGACTTCACTATTGAAACAGCAATTACAGGGGTGCATTTTTCCCCCTTCGATAACGTATATGCGTCATTCGTGCTGTAATTACAAGCGCAGCCCACACAGCCACGCAACGAAGTCGGTTGATGATTGATACAACGCTCCCTCATTTCGGACGTCTCAGATGAATATGGCAGTTGCGCTCTTTCGCGTTTCGATTTTACTGCAGAATTTAGGAGAAATTAATTAATTTGCAATTATTACTGGAGGTCACTTTTACGAAATCTCGAAGTGGCAATGGGTTCTTTGCATGAAGGACTTCAATTTTCCAATTTGACTTAGCTGCTCAACTCCATGAATTAAAAAGCTAATTAATATAACTTCAAAGCTGTATCGAATATGTACCAGTGGAAACCAGAGTAGGAAAGCAACACATTTTCAATGCAGGCAAAAATGCTTGAGGCTCGTGTACTTTGATTTCGGTGCACTTTAAAGAAAGAAGGTGGTTGAAAATTTCGGAGCTCTCCACAATGGCGCCCCACATAATCATATCATTTTGTGGCGTAAAACCCAACAATTATTATTATTATTATTATTCTGTAACAAAAAAGCAAAAAAATGTATGTTCGTTTACTACATTTTAGCCTTAAAATCATGCAGTCAATGCTAGGTTGAATAATTAATCTGATCAATGACTGCATTGCTCAATAATAGCTCATAAATATCAAATTCAGTTCATAATTTAATTACCATGATCACGAAAGGACTCTATACTATAGTCTCTATACTATACTATATGGCTGTATACTATACTATGCCTTTGTCTGCTGGTTAAGTGTGGATGAAAAAGTGATTACCTTTCACATGTTCACATTGTTCTGCTTTTTAGTTAAACGATAAAAAAATTAAGATGAAAATAAAAATTCAAATTTTGTTCAAATTAAAAGATGGATGCACAGAAGCAACAGTTGCCATGCATTATAACAACTTCAACAAGGACATGAATTGTATAATGTCACCTTGCTTATTGTAAGGCAACAAATTAAGCCTCAGAGACGTGTCATCACGGTCCCTTCTGTTGATTATAATGAGCGATTGGCGACTGACTCCACTGCATGTGCTCTGCTAACAGCACGAACACTGCGCGCATGCACATCAATGTTCTGCTTGAAGCAAATCTAATAAGGAATGCTATTCTCTTAACACTCTAACGGAACGTTCATACTCGGCACACACGATTAGTTGATGCTCGAGTACGTAAATGTTGTTGACAGTGAAGGTACATTCGATCAATCGCAGCGTTGACAAACATTCTATAAGGACAAACATTCTATAAGCTGAACCAGCTGCAAATAGTATTGGGGCAGTCAACAGAGCCGGAAATTTGAAGTTGACTGAACTGTTGCCGTGCGGCCGAAACTGTCTAGCCCTTTTAAAGCTTTTTATTCAGAATCAACCAGCTATAAGAGGAGGGCGAATTTACACTTTGAAACACTTGTGCGAGCGCCTGAACCCCTTGATGAGTACCACTCAGCAACGGGTTTGTTGGGGACAGGTAGCCCTTCAAAAGAAGGTTTGTAGACATTGAAGGCAGGCGGTGTAAACTGGCACCAGAATCACAGTCATAGGACCAATAGATCGTGATCAACTCTTCTCGTTAAGGTTGTGACCCGTTGCGGCACATGATCTTCTTCCTCTCTACACACATTATAATCACTTGAAAAATAATACAAAAATCTGTGAAACCCCAAGGGCAAATTAAGCTTCATTTTCTTTGCAGGGTATGCTGTAACTTCCTATAATAGGTAATGGGCAACAAAAGCTGCACGGCCTTGCATGCGACATAAACTCCAACTTGCCTCGTGCTGGAACAGTATTGAGATGAAGCGCAGGTCCAGCACAGGCAGTGCCGACAGCTGCACAACTTCCGACTGTTCCAGTGCCGAGAGCTGCCCGTTCACATGGTCCAGCGATGTCCAGAACGTGATCCACGGCCTCAGCCAGAGCCAGGCCTCTCCTGCCCGTGCCCTCGCCTTCTGCGCCAATCTGTCCATGGCCCCGTCTAGCTGGTCGCAAGACTCCGCGTGCTCGCGCGTGGATCGACGCTGCCGCAAGGCCGCGAGCATTGGCTTGAACGTCTCCAGCCGGAGCTGCAGGTTGCCGACGTCTTCGAGGTGCTGCCTGCAGGTTGCCGGGTCGCGGAAGGGGGGACCCGTCGGACTGGTCAGGGTCTGGCGCGACCTTTGGCTGAGCCGAAGTAGGTCCGTGCAGCTGTCTTCCAGGGGTGCCTTCTGGAGGAGGAGTCTCCGGGCGCTGCCCCAGATGATGATGAGCCGATGGCAGAGGATCCCCCATCGACGGAGCAGGTCGTCCGAGTCGTCTGTTCGGATGCAGTGGAGATTCACGCCCAGTGGAATCGCGTCGCGGGACAGCTTCTGCATCGCATGGGATTGTGAGAAAATGTGGTGAGTGAAATCTTGTCAGAGGATGGTGCGTATGAATAATGGTAATGGTGGGGACCCTGCTTTAGAAGCATATTTTTTGTTTGGAGAGGACTATTATAAAAATTTCACAGCTTATGCATGTTCATGTGCTGATTTCAAACGCCCAATTTCAGTTGGATGTTAAACAAAAGCAGTTCCATAACAAAATATCGTAACAATTCTAGCACATGATGTGTATTACACCGAGGTCAGTTTATTTTAGCACACTACAAAGAATAGAGTTGCTTTCACGAGTGAATACAACTGAATGTGTTACAGTCAAGTAACTGCACGCCAAGTACAGTGAGAGCGTATAGTACGAATGAATGAAATACCACCTACCTCTAGCTTAGCACAAAGGTTTTGCAGTTTTTCCACGCTCCAGTCACTTTCAGGTTCTCTTGGGAGCACCTGCACATTTTATGCCACGCAATTTATTTGCCTTCTCTTAAATATAAAAAGCATTAAGGTGCATTCATTTCTGCACCAGTGACTAGGCTGCAGTGTCACACTGACTCGAACCTCGATGTAACGAACCTGGATATAACAAATAATCGGTTATAGTGAAGCAAGCGAATAATAATTCTCTTCTAGATACTGTGTCAAGAATACACATGTATTATAAATTTATGGTTATAACGAAGTATTTTCATGGCAGTCATGACTGTTATAACAAGGTTTTAGTGTAGTTGCTCCATGGTCAATAACTTCCAGTACCCCAATAACACATGACAGACAGAGGCTCGCGTGTGTGTGCACAGCGCTGCGTGCACTGCAGGCTGTTTGCCAGTGTGAGTTTCGAGTCGGCCTTCTCCCACATTTCTGAAGTGATCTATGCAATCCTAACGCGCTATGCTAACAGGGTTGTAGCAGTTTTCTACAGGGATTCTAATTGCTTCTCACTCCTGCTTCATTAAAAAGTAGTACTGTTGTCCATTCAGTAAGTTTTTTCATTACAAAAGTTCATCAAGAACGGAAGCAGCAATATTTGCGGAATATTGCGAACAAGTTCTGAAGAACTGCACAACATAGTGGAAGAGTTTTGGAAGGCATAATGACAACCACTTGTTTGTAGAAAGAGGAGACAAGGAAATCCATACCGACGCCTTAGAAATGAGAACTTCTAGGTTGCTGAAAATTTCTCCTGGTACAGGGATTGAAACCGGTATAAATTCCTTTCCAGGGCGGTTGCTCTATCAGCAGATCTCAATAGGTGGTTCTCCCTTTCAATAATTGCAGAAGTGTACACATCTGGGATCTTTGGTCTGCGACTTCAGTACGAATAGCGTAATGGGACCAAACATTGTACGCGTTTATTTCTCATGTCCTTTCCCTTTGCGCTGTTTTTACTCAAATCGAATGATGTTTTTGGAATACTTTCCAAATGCCTCTGTGCGTAAGAAGTTGCACCTCACCTTCTCCAGCTGTTTGAGCTCCTGCTCAAGTTTTGCCGGGTGAGCGGCAAAGCCCAAGGCAGACCAGTCGCAGTGGCGATGGGGTGCCAACCGCGGCTCCACGAGTGCTGCGGCGGATGCTTGTAGGGCATTGATGCGCGCTTTCAGTGGCGAGGCGTCGAGGAGTTGGCTGGAGACGTCTGCGGAGGTGAGGTCTCTCAAAGCGGAGCGAACGTCTGCTCGGGCAGCCGCCTGAGCATAGCTCAGCTCGGTTCCTCCACCACTGTCTTCTTCGTGGGCCGCCTTGAGTGCCAAGTTGATGAGCTTCTCCTCCGCTGTCAGCCACCGTAGCCACAAGGAGTGCAGCTGAAGCATGTCCTTGTGCAGCTGAGATGTCTTGTCCTTAAGTTGGTGCCACCTTAATAAGAAACAAAAAAAATATGTGACCACGTTAACGTCTTCTCCATATCCGTCCAGGATATTGAGCAGATTTGGCCCACTTCGCCAACCATTAGCTAGAAATCAGCCACTCATCAATGGTAGAACTGAAAGCTGGGCGGGTTGATGCCTATTTGAATTGAATTCGGAGTGCACGCAGAAGGGACACAGCCCTTGTTTGTTATACTTTGCCTTGTCCACATCTTTTACGTGTGCCGTGACTTCGACGCGAATCGGTCATCTCTTCCCACAGCAATGACCGACCTGCTGTTTGTGGTCTTTCTGCATTCTGCTAGATAATAGCTTGAATTTTGTGCAACATTCCTTTTGCAGTAAATGTTACTCCTTCACTGACCCTATGCAGATATTTGGCGGCATCTGCATAGGAACACAACTGTACATTTATCATTTAGTGTCTAACCTCTGCCATGCTAATTTGCAACTGCTGACATAACTGCACTGTTTAGCAGGTCATGCAATACTCTCTGACAATGTATTTTACCATACCAAACAGTAAAGTTTTCGAATACACCCTGAACATATTTTAATCTATTTAAAAACATTGTACATGTGGCATGTGTGCAATTGGATGTGCTTTTTTGACGATGCAGAGCATTCCAGCACAGCAGTGAGGGCTGTTTGTTATAAAATCTCCTTTCAAATAGTTGTGAGCAATCCTGTCGAGTGGATGATAAGATCTATCACACAAAGCAAATGTGTCTCAACTTGTGCAAAAAGTATTGCACTACACTTGCCTGTCCCGCAGCTGCCGAACCCTCTCCCGCGTAGTTTTCTCGGGCTTGCGTCCGTGGCCGTCTGTCAGCTCTGCCTGAGCAGCCTCAAGACTACCCAGCAGTGGCCTCTCCTGTTTCTCCAGTGTCTGTCCCAAAGCCTGAAATGGCAAACAAAAAAAAGAGAGAAAGGCAGTTGAGAGCCAAGCAAGCACAGTATGATGTGTAATTCACAGCTAATGTATGCAAGATGTATTCGGAAAGAGATCAACTGAACGGGCATATTCTGCAGGGCTCTGACAGACTCGGCAATAAGAACCTAACCTTTGGTATGACTATCACACAAAATCTCGTTCTTTACACTTGTTTGGCACACAAGCACTCGGGGTGCGAAAAACGAAAAGTTAACACAAAGCCAACGCGCCATGAAATCGAACTGACGTTATCATGTCCTCAGGAGGAGGATTCATGTCCACACACCTGGCTTTTGTACAAATGAGCATAAGTTTAACTAAAGTCTTGTTTTTTTTACGAACCTATAGAACGCACACACCACAACTGGGACTGCACCCATAACCAAAGAGTTTCCTATAAATGCACTAGAGGGAACTCTGGTGCTAGTGTCTGTGGGAGCTGCAATGCAAGGGGCTTCAGCCAGCCGGGGGATTGATGGGTAGTAGACAAATTTGCCTCGTCTTCATTATTTCGGCTCTGTTTGGCTCCGTGCAGCATGAATCGGCCTTGTTGCAAGATGAAGCTCAGCAATGATTTAGCACCTGGTCAGGACCTTGACCTTTTTTTTATGCCCATCGATTCAAATCGGCTCACAAAGTTCACAATGGTTCATTTTTAAAATTTGAAACGAAACCAAAACAAAGCAATAAAAAAAAAAAGCCACAAGTGCGTTCTGAGCGTGCAAGCACGAAGACTCGGCGAATCCGTGTGCGGCCCATCATTCCCACGGTGGCTGAACGCTCACAGCGCCAGAGTCCCCTCTATTTAGTTTTGGGAAACTCTATGCCCATAGCCACACATGTGAAGTCACGAATGCAATGAATGAATCAGCCTACAGATATAGTTACCCTACATGTCTTTCATCAATGTAACGTGTCACTCCTGCTCGTTAGGTAAGCAAACCATTGACATGCTCTCAGCTCTGCGTGATGCACACATTGTTTGGTGTCATGTTAAGGGGGGCAGACTGGTCTTTGGGAGCAAAAAGTGACAAAAAATTCATTTTTTAAAACTGACATATTTGGTTTCTGCAGTATTTTTCTATCTCTCTGCAAATTTTCACACACCAGAAAGTGGTACTTTTTTTTTGTAATGTCACTCTAACTGTCCAGATTCTTGGTGCTGCTAACATGCAGAACCTGCAAAAAAAAGGGGGGGGGGGGGAGAGAACAGACTTCGAGGCTTTTTTATAATTTGCCGCCACCTGTGTTATAAGCTCTGCTAAAAATTTATGAGCACCTTTATGAGGTTTCAGAACATGCGCACCATGATTGTTGCTTTTTGAAGAAGTTGTGTGTTCTCAGTTTTTTACATTTTTCTCAAAAAAGTAAATTTACGACTGTTCAATTTTGGGGCCTTAATATCTCTGCAGCTAGGGCATGTACAACAATAATGCTTTATTCAATGAAAACCTGTATGTGTGTAGAATGCAAGTATGGGAGCAGAACTTAGAGAACAAGCCTTTTTAATTAATTGCGCATCAAAATTGTAACGCAATTTCAACTGCTTTTGAAAATGGATAGTTCATTTTGATGTAAAATAACCAAGAAGGCCTAAAAACAAAAAAAAAAAAATTCTTGCATACTTTCAATCTATAGTCATTAGTCTATGTTGGCATGTCATAAATATAACATTTAATTTAGCACTTTATTTTTTCTATGGTGGCCTTAAACAATAGGAGGTGAACATAAGTTATCTGAGGAACAAGATGAGTAACAGGAAAACTAATTAAATATTTGAAATCAGCAGAAAAAGCTGCACAAATTTGTGAAGTTTCATCAAGATCACTGAACAAATAAGCAAAAAAATGTCCAAGACCAGTCTGCCTCCTTAAGTCATGTTGAAACCTTAAACAGCGAACGGAAGTTGAGAGCACTCGCCTCAAGCGCCGGCAGGTAGCTGGCGTACAGCTCAGGGCAGCAGTTGAGGTAGCGCTGCAGGCAGTCCTCGGCCTGTGTTAGGAAGGACTCCACTGCGTCCAAGGACTTCTCGTAAGTGCCCACTTCCCTGAAGGCACTCTCCAGGCTTTGGCTCAGCTTGCCGGCTTCTTTTTCCGCCACGTCGTGCTGTTTGCGCAAAGCTGCAACGTCTTGTCCCTTCCTTTCCAGGCTGTCCAGGGTAGCCCTCTGGGACTTCAACATTTCTCTGATCCACTGACAAGAGAGATGAACAAGAGTCAACAAATTAACCAGAAAGAATGAAACTCGCACAAATGAAATCACAATAACCGTAAGTATGACTACTGCAGAGCTCCAGTATAAAGAGTCAAAGATGTAATAAGTTAATGCATGCTCTAAATGTAATATTGTATCACTGTGATGGGATGAATGTGATCAAGCCAAGGCTGTTGACTCTTGCATTTTATTAACTTTGATATAACAAACCCAGATATAAAGAAATATCGGTTATAACGAAGTAAATGAAAAAAAAGCCTCGCAATAAAAACATAGTGTTTCGAATATACATTTATAATGCATTTTCGAATAGAAACTTATTTTCGTGTAAGATACAACTTTGTTATAATGAGAGAGAAAAAAACTCATCTCGAAACACAAGTCCGGGTCTGAGCTCTAGGGTGAAGCTTTACTAGCCTCTTCTAAGATGGTGCGTATATGTGTAAGGAGAATTGTCCACGAGGAGGTTGTTTCGCCCAGATTCGCGACCCAGGCCTCCCATGTAAGTTACGTTAGAGCGGGGTGATTGGCGTTGTGCTGTATTGGCTCTGGGACAGTGCCAGTATGTGCGAAATAATGTCGGTACTGAACCGCACATTTGGAAATGAGGTGTCTCCAGGGCCTATTAATGTATTTGCTCATCCAATCAAATTTTGACTCCTGATCGACCTGTAGAGTTCGACTCGCGTTCAACCAAAGCTCTGCTCACCTGAATGATGTACAAGCAGGATCTAATGTGCCGACGCTCTGTGGGCTTCTCCCTTGCGACTTGCTGGAGAGCGGCCTGCATTGCCTCGATGCTTGGTCTCAACGCGCAACGCGTCATGATGGCCCGGTCTTGCTCGCCTATGCTTCTCCTTGCGACCCTGAGCTGCTTCAACAGCACAACTATGATGATCTGCCAACGGCGGAGGATGACGTACAGCCTTCGGCGCGCCTCCTCGTCGGCAGGCGGGCATGACGACAGAGCTGACAGCAAAGCCGGTTTGCACGCTTCCATCTCTTCCTTGCATGCCTGACATCAACGAACGACAAACAAATTTAAGTGCCTCGTAATGCGAAAAGCACGGCATGAAGAATGCCTTTATTTAATGAAAACAACAGATACGTTTTTTTTAAATAATTCACACTAGGATGCACTGCTGGATAATAGGTGATACGCGAACTCTCATCTTTCGTGATCGTTGCATTAATGGCATCGCCAAGACAACAGTGATGGCAACGGCCTACAGCACGAAATATAATGCCAAGATTCACAATTCACACGGCCATTATTTCTCAAGTAGCCAGTACAGATGGCCGGTCAAAGGGGAATCACAGGAAAAGGCTCTAAAACGATGTTTGCCTATTGTTCCTGTTCTGCATAATCAAGAATCTTTCGATGCCAACTTTGAATTTGCTGGCATTAAGTGGCCCCATGAAATGTTTGTAAGACGCAATGACTAAAACTCTGACACATTCCATTACTGAAATAGGGCACACGTTTTTGTTTTAGTTTTTTTTAATTGAAAGCATTGGTGTGCATGGAATAAACGCTACTAGTAATGCATGCAGAGAAGTGACATTACATATGTTAGCAAGTGATACAGCCATGTGTCTCTGTACAGAATGCTCAATTCTCACAGATTGAAGTGAGACATCAAGAATAAGAACAGGTGCTCTTGAGGCAACAGCGTCATGTCACGACAAATAAGGTCACCAAAAAGATCTGACATGAGCCTATAAGACCAACTACACCAAAAAAAAGGATAACAGAAGAAACAAAAGTATGTGTTTTACATAGTCTTGATTTGTAATGTTTCAATCCATGAGAACTAAAAATCTAACGAAAAGTCTCATTTCTAAATCTATCTTAGAGAAATGATGAGAACATCCTGTTGATACCTGAAGCATGGGGAGGTCTGCCGTGGGAACATGATGGACGGCTTGTTCTGCGGCACTGAGCAACTCTTCTGCGGCCTTTTCAGTATCTTCTTGATTGGTCATGGTTGACCAGCTTGCGCGAGCCTTTTGCAAGTTTTCGTGCAGCTTGCCAAGCCGGTGACTCAACTTCCTAGTGTCCGCTTCCAAGCTTTCGAGGGAAACCACGTCACCTGACGGCTTCTCAGCGGCGATCTTCAGATCCCTCTCGGCCTCGTGCAAGTGTCTGGCCAGCTGAAAAGTGATCGAGTGTGTTGTGGTAACTCAAAACAAACAGCTGTCGTCATAATTAGCCTACCTTAATTGGCGTTTTCATTTTTAGTCAGTACAGACTTTTTAAGATTGACTGTCACAGATAATGTATTTGTAGTTGCTGAACTCAATCACTCCAAGAGGTAGACATTGCTGTACATGAAATTCAGATATATAATCAGATAATTACAACAAGAATCGCTCATTGCATTTGCATATATCTGCTGCAGAGCATCATTATATGTATTAGTGAAAATACTGTTCATATTGAAAGCTATTAAAAAGTTATTTTCTTAGCGTTGTGCCTAGTGCTATTTGATTCATTATCTGACCTGGTCGTGAAAATTGCTATTTGTGCAAGCCTAGAAACATACCTCTATATATACTTATAATAGCTGCGCCTGCTCTTCTTCAAGATGTTATATATGCAAATGTGAACATCATTTTATATAGGTACGTACCTGTGCGTAAATACTCAATCAATATTTCGAAACCTCCAAAACAAATTCAGTTTGAGCTGCTTTTGGCAGTGTCAAAATTGTACTCGACTTTGGTCTAAAGACAGAAATGCATGCACTACCTGAAACCAACCAGCTACTCTAGAAGCTAACGCTATATTACGGAAGAGTGAGTTAGTTGGTACGGATTACTGATGAAGAATTTCGCATTCAGACACGGACATAAGAGAAGAGCTCAGAATAATACAAATGTTCTGATTTTTTTTATTGAGTCCTGGTCTGCTCGCCAGCTTCTTTTATCATTATGAACTGAACACGTGGCCAAAGGCAGACTAGTTTATACACTGAAACCTCATCATAGCAAAGTTGCATATTACAAGAAAAAATACTCATTATAACCAAAAATACATTATAAAGGTTATTGCTAACACTGTATGTTTTGCAAGACCATTTTTCGTTTACTTCATTACAACCGATACTTAGTTATATCCGTGTTCGTTATATTGAGATTTGAGTGTACGTCAGAAAGACAGAATTCATGGCACAAACACGGGATGAAGAAAATAAAGCCTGACGGCTTATCATTAACCTCAGGCTTGAGTGAGGTTTGCTTTCTTTTTTTCTGATAGTCGTGCTTACTTCAACGGTCTTTGATGGCTGTCTAGCCTGTGGCTCTTTGTCCTTGAGCAACCTCTCGGCCGCCGTTATGGCGGCATTGGCTCTGTCCAGCAGCTCCCTGTTTCGACGCAGGCGGGCCACCTCTCGGCGCAGCCAGGTCGTTCTCCTTGACAAGAGAATCCAGTACTGACGCCAGTCCAGCAAGAGCCGTGCTGGCTGTTGCTCCGGAGGCACGTGGGGTCCTAGCACGACCTTCCTGGACAGGTCCTCAAGGTCGCGGATGTAGGGCACTCGCATGCGAGCCTTGCATTCCAGGTCCTGCAAAGAAATCGTGACCAGGTCATGCGAAGGTACAGGGCATGTCAAGGCATGTACAGGGTACAGGTCAGATGACGGCCATGCAAGAAATTTGTGTTCTGCAAAAAAATCACAGATCTAAGTTATGCAAAGATCTATGTCACGTCTAGTTAGGTCAAAGTCAAAATCATGTCAAACTTCAGGTCATGTAAAGAACTGCAGCTCCTTGTAAAAAAACTGTTCTGCAGTATGAGAAGAAAGAAGCAAGCTTTTTAAGAAAGCAACACGCACCCACATATTCTGCCTTCTCGTTATGCATCTCATATGTCTTTTTCGAATGCTATTACGTTACCAGAGGCGGAGCACAGAGCTACGGTTGAGATGAGTCAAACTGTCCAGAAAGAATTAGAACACCTATATAAAATTCAAAGAAAGTCATTCATTACCATCATTACATAGTTACATTTTGCTAAAAGAGGAGTGCCTAAACTATCTGCTAACTTCGTTCGAAAAAATCATTTCAGTGTTGCTAGCAAGCATGACTAACTATGGCAACTTCCTGTCAGGTGCATTTTTGATGTATGATGCACCAAATAGCTAAAACCAAAGTTTTACCGTGGAGAAAATACTGGAAAATGAATGAACGAACAAACAAGCAAGCAAATGAGCAGGCAACACACCTCAAGAGAGCGCAGTGCTTCTTCCAGCGACTCCAGCGATGTTGGGCCGCTAGGCTCCCAAAGTGGGTGCTGCTGCATCCAAGCAAGCTGCTCTCTTGCGGCATCCTCGAGCTCCTTCAACGCTGCAGCCGAAGATCTGAGCTGAGCCAGTCTGGCCTCGGCAAGCGTGTCCGTTGAGGAACCCTCCACAGGTGCCTCGGCGGACTGGTCGCTCTGGCTGGACAGGTGCTTTCCGAGAGCATCGAGGAACTGGACTTCCTGGAGAGCCTCCTGAGTGACAGAAGGTGCGGGGGCATTGCATTGGCGGATGCGCCGAGGACGAGTCGACTGGGACAGGTGTCCCGTGTACTCGCGTGAAATGCAGCTGGTGGGCTTGTTCAACGAGTTGTCGTTATCAGTTTGTTTTACAGATACTGGAGGACAGCTGCCTTTGCCAGAAATCTATAAATACCTTTGTCTTGCGTTATCTGACACGTAAGATGGCAAAATTGCCCCTAAAAAGTAATTAAGCTGCATTACCAACTACCGTACAAAATTTTTAAAAGATGCAATTAAATTATATTACAAATTACAACTGGCTAGAGGTAATGACATTATGTTAATATGACCTTTGAAAAGTAATGAAGGTACTTTGAATCAAAATCAACAAAAATTTACAAATTATGCCAGGCCCTCAGCCAAAAAGCTTTTCGGGAGGGGGTCACTAGTTGAATTTCTTGAAGAACACAATCTCGGCTACAGACCTGATTATGCTCTACTGATGTGCACTTCATATACGACACATGTGCATGATAATCTCATAGATCACTGTCAAACTTTACATGTTTGAGATATGGCACACAGATTAACTCGTGTTTGTTATCCTTCTTTCCTTTTATTTTGGTCAATTTTTTTTTGCCACAAGGGAAGCGAACGTAAAATATTTTATTCAATAGCAATTGGTGAAATAATAAGTACGGTAGTCTTCTTGAAATTACTCACTTGAAGTAGTTCCCTATATTACTCATTATAGCAAAAACTAATTTATTGAATGTAATGTAATTACTGCCAAGTCTGATTGACTACACGATATACCCCCAACATCCAATTTCATCATACCGCGTAATTCTTCTCACCTTTTTGACCGTGATTTCTTTCCTCAATGCGTTTTCTGTAGCTCTTTATAGACCACCAGCTATCTACCCTTTGCAGAACACGCTGGTTTGATTTCTTATTCTTATCTCAACTGAAGTATTGGCTTTACGGTGCTTCTTTGACTCTTGTAATGTCGCGCTCGTCCGTCACTTTTAAGATCGAAGAGCTCTTTAGGTTTTTAATTGTGCCAGGTAGTGCAAACAGAAATTATTATCATCATGAACTGGTATGCGCATCATCCTCTACGTCAACTTCTGCTTGTCTCACACAACACATGCACCGATTTGTCCTTCGTGGAATACAATAACTCTATGATGGGTGAGTGCGTTACGCAACTAAAAAGTCACATCAGGTTGTGTATTCGTGTGACATAATATCGCTTAATGCCGCGCAACGTCTATCGCATGACTAAATTCAGGCAACAATGCATAATAGCTAGCTACGCGACACGTTCCACGATAAACCAGGTCACAGCTAGTCACGTGACTACATTTGCTAAATTATTCAACAGGCAGTCATGTGGCATGTATAGCCAAGACTAGCCATAATTAGTACTATTACTAGCAGAAACTTAGCATCTCTGGCAAACGCTTAGCATTACTAGCAAAACTTAGCTAGGTCGAGCACTAAGTTCGCTGAAGGGCCCAGCATTGCACCACGAGTGCAAACTGTGAATATTTTGTTCTATAAGCCGCCGTGCAGTCGTTTAACTTACTGTTGTTCTTCTAGTTAAACCATAGATTAGTGCTGGCATAATGCGATAAGTGCACGCCTTATTTGTTCATTACAGTAAAACGAAATGCGATTACTGATAGAAGAAAAAAAGGAGTGCAAGCAGAGGCAGGGTACCCACCTTCACAGAATCCTCAATATCTTTCACTTGCTGAGGGCTGCCCGTGGGAGACCAGGGAGCGATCAGGGGTTCCAGGAAGGTTTCCTGAGCCTTGGAGGCCGCCTTGCAGCCGGCCAGCCTGTTCTGCAGGGCCTGTTGCCTCAGGGCCTTTTGTACCAGGAGTTGACACTGCACGCAAGATGAATACAAACACTAATGCTTTGCTTTCCACGTGAAACATCCAAGGCAAGTCTGTAGTGACACAATATTTGACTTCAAAGGCTTGTACTGTGACCACAATTTGTATGCTTTGTTTTCACAGACTTGTAATCCACTTTATTTAAGGTTACAAAGCAATATTATGGTGTCGTTGAGTGTAGGGGGGTTATGTCAGCAAATATATGCCTGGCTAGGCCCAGCATGGAGAAACTTACCTAATTAAGTTAATAAGTTCTAAGGTTTTACATGCCAAAACTGCGACGTAATTATGAGGTACATTTTTGTGGATGAATACGGACTAATGTTGACCACCTAAGGTTCATAAGTGTACACTTATATCAAAGTACACAAGTGTTCTTACACTTTACCGCATTGAAATTCTGCTGCAGTGGTTGAGAATTAGAACCACATCCTTGAGCTTGACAGTGCAACATCTTATCCCCTAAGCTACCATGCTGAGTTGACGCGACTTGCGGGGCAGAAAACCGCGAACAATGCGATGCGTGGAATGTAACTGTTGAAATTTAAGTTCTGGCTTTGCTAAAGTACACGACTTATAGACACATGATGAAACCACACTGTGCATTCATGAACTGTTGCAGCAAATAAAAGAAATTGCTTCTCGGTGTGTTGGGCTTACCTGGCACCACAGTATATGCAGTCTGCGTGAACACTGTGCAAGGCTGGCCACTGCAGGTGTGCGACTCGCGACATCCTTGTCCTCGGGTGTGGACGGTACCATGGTGGCCCTCGTCAACTCCCTCACCTCGGCCCGCGCTGCGCACAACGCTTCGATCCAGGCTTCCACCTGGAAATGGTGTCAATCAAACATGAGCACAAAAAACAATGGTAATAGGAATACCATATTTTCTTGTCTATAAGCCACTTGAAGTGTACAGAAAATTGGAAGCTAAATTCGGGTTGCGAGTTACATGCTAATTGTGGCATGCAAGTTTGTTTCACAGCGTGGCTTGAAGGTAATGATAGGAAGGCAACATCACTTTTTATTTTTTAGTTTTTCTTGCAGTTTGTAGTGGGGCTGTGCCCTATAAGCATGGGCTGATTATACGCAAGAAGATATGTTATGCTATGTAAGTGCAAAGAAAAGATTCAAAATGGTTTTATAGTATAGTGTTATATTTCAATAGTACTGTGACATACGATCAGCCAAACGCAAAGGTACAAGTTCACAATGAAGTAATTAATATAATGAGTACTATTTAAAATAACTTGAGCACTATTAAGTCAATATTGATTGTAGAAATAGTGGTCCAGAAACCTTGTAAGGTTACTTCTGTGCTAAGGAACTGCTTATTTTGAGATGAAATCACGGTTTTGTGGTCAACGTCGGGTCAGCACACTTCAAGTTCCGCGACCAAGTGGAACGCCTTACGTGACTGTTGCCGTGCACAATGTAGGCCGGCCTTACTGTGCAGCTGCCGACACTAGTAGCAGCAGAACGAAAGCGGTGGGAGCCACAGCAGCAACAATGGCAATTCAACACTTCCCTGCCATTGACTCCGAGATGGCAGACGTGCTTGGTTCAGTTGGGCCCCGCCAGATGGCACGATCTGTCCACTTTAACCAGGCGAAAATTCAACTTTTGAGCCACTCGTGCCATTCCCCATAGTAACATACGGCGTTTTTTTTTTCCATGAATCAAACAAAAACAAATGATCAGCCTTTTATTACGTTTCTTGATGCGCAGAAGCTTCCTTCTTTAGTGCAACTAATTGGATTACTAGTGATTAATTGTAGGCGGTACCCCTGACGTCATCAGGATCATTTTGTGAATGTCCTATCGTAGTGCATGTGTGCTCGTGCATTGACCTTAATTTCTCGGTAAGTAGGGCACTGCTGTTCATAATATTGTTGTTCTAGACATGATAAATTGAGCTTTCACTCTGACATAAATTGTTATTTGACTTTAGCGTCCCTTTAACGGCACATAACCGTAGTTAATGGTAAAGCATGCTACGTACTTGTCGGCAGCTATTTCACAAAGCGAAGACGAACGTTGAACACGGCTGAATGCAACAGCAACTCGCAACCAATGAGGATGCACTGAGACAGAATGACGGTAGAGGCATCCGAGGCCCTGTTTGCCCAGCGCTCCAAGCGGCAGCGGCAAGAACGAGTGTACGACAGCTGCCACATGTGGTGTGCCCAGCACAGATTTTAATAAATGAGGCACTCTCTGTACGTGTATTGCAAGGGCACGCGAAGATCATGTGGGCCAAAGTGTCAAGTACGTCGCAAATCAGACAAAAATATTTGTGTAATGTTGGGTACAGTCTGTGCATTAGTACAGCCAAACACAGATATATCGAACTCGCAAGTTACTTCCTTGAAATTCCTTTCCTAAAGTATAGAAATTTGCACGTTTATATCAAATGGCATTTTTACCCACCTTCGGGTATAATGAACACTTTGCGAGCTGGAAGGTGCCCTGCGGCACTCGGCACGCCTCGCGATCTCCGCAGTAGCGGGGTGCTGTGTTGGGGGCTGGCTGGTCCCGACGAAGCAGAAGAAGCAGACGGCCGACGGAGACACGGGGCTCCGCACGCGAGTTCGTTCGAAGTGCGCTTTGGCACTTGCAGCGCCCGGTGACCTCCGCATGACTGCGCGCCTTCATTCAAACCCGAAACGCTCGAAAAAAATAATAATAAGGGCGAGAGGGCCCGGACTGCATGGTCCTCAACTTTCAAAACGGCCTTTTTTTCCCGTTTCTATTTTTCTTATGCTTTCTCCGTGTAGCCATCGGCTCGGAGAGCAGGAATGAAGGAGCCGACGACCTCCTCCTCTTGCTTTTTCATTAATTCTTTTGTTCCTGTTGCCCTTACCTGTAACCATCGCCTCGCGAGCGCTCAGCTGGCCGAGTCCGCTTTCGTTGTCACGTCGTCTACGTACCACTGCATGTGCAGCGTTCTTCTTTTGCGTGCGCGGTGTGCAAAGCCGCTGCCAACTCCTTCAATTGTCAACTTCTCATGTAGCTATGGCCAGCATGAAAAAGCACAAGACCCTTGACTTTGCAACGACGTTGAAGGCTAACCAGCGTGCTGAGGCGGGCTAGAAACGTTCGACCGTCGCGGATGACTTTGGGTACCACGGAGCACTCCGAGTAGATCGTTGAAGAACAAGGCAGATAACAAGGCAAAGGTGGCGAAGGAACATACATCAAGAGCCGGTCGTGTGACGACAGAACTTGCGGAAACCAATAAAGACAGCGATGACGAGTGCTTAGATGATGCGTTTTGCGAGTTGTCGTCCCTCTTCCTGACAGCTGTTGCACACAAAGTGTGTGCAGACGATTTCGTGGAAGTGGACTGCAATGTTCAGGCCGTTGCTAGCCTCGTCGACGCGAACATAGTAGCTGCGGTCGCAGGGGCCCAGGATGCCCAGGCCAAGGGCTCATGTGGCGAGGAGGATAGTCTGGATGAGGCGCTGGCTGCACGCACGTACTCCACCGTGGAAGTGGTAGCAGCGTTCCGCATCCATTCGCCGTTGTATCGGCGACATAGAGGGAACCGGGCCGTTGCAACTGGACAGCCTTAATAAGATTGAGACTAGCGTCTTAAACTTCATTTAGAAAATGAAGAAGCAGGCCAAGATAAGGAATTTTTGTTCACGCAAATAAAACATTCTGTTGCGGCATGTGTGTGGAATTAGTTGTCATTCCTGAATGCACCAATTGTAGGTGATGGTCCGCTACAGGTAAGCTCTCGGGGCTCGTATCTTTTTATATCAAGTTTTCGATATATCGAACTAATTCACAATCCCCTTCCAGTTTGATATATTCGTGTTCGGCTGTATACTGTGTGTGTAAGTGTTGCTCTGAAGTCTTCTAAGTATGGTGCTGTCTTCTTAGTTGAGCTTCGATAGTGGTGGTGGGTACTCTCTGCGTGCCAGCCTATGGTGTTGCGGTATTGCTGAGTAGATTGGTACGAACTCGAGAAAAAATAAAAAAAGTGAGCTTACCTTTCTGATCCAGTTGGGATCTCCTTCACGAATGCGATCCAGCTGCGGTGCCAACTCCTGGTCGACCTTCTGAAGCAGGCGAGATACTTGTTCCTGAAAAAAAAAAAATTGTGGGGCGATTTTTCTGGCTGCTCGATATTTGGCAGAACTTGGCTATGCAAATGGTTAATAGCACTTAAGAAAAGAGAGCAGGCTTGTAGAGGTGTACATTTAAATTAAACATATTAAAAAAGCAGATTAATGTCACTGATACTCGGAACTCGGTGCAGTAATTACAGCTGACGTCAATCATGCAGGATGAAGGTTGCAATGTTCAGTCACAAAGGAGTAAAATTAAGTGTGATGTCAGGCTAAAATGAAATAATCATTAAAAACAGTTTGAAAAAAAAAAATGCCTCTTATGCACTACACTTACGCCTCATTATAACAAACTCCCATCTGCCGCAAAAATACTTTGTTATATCCGTAAATTCGTTATAAGTGATTATTTGTAATGCCATTTATTACAAAGGTATTCTTCACTTTGTTTTTAAATGATAATGCGTTATAGCCAAATTTGTTATATCAAGATTTGAGTGTACATGTCGACAGAAGCAGCTTCTTAAATATACAAGTGGTATTAAAAAAAAATGTAGACTGCACAATTCCTTGAAGCTGCACTGTGTGCTTGGATGTTTCGGAACTCATTCCACTTGCATGACATTCTTTATTTAACTTGTACTCACAGCACAGTTGATGCTACCACATTATGCCCTCATCACAGTATGGCCGTTTGCAACTGGGAATCAAACCTTTGCTCAGCGGCAAGACACTCTGCCAGGTGCACGTTGCAACAAAATGCAATGTTGATATCAAACACATTTTGAGCTAATCGAAGTCTTAGGGATGAATACAGTAATTCAAATGACATAGCTTTAGGATTAATCGTGACATACATGACTGTTACAAAACAGAAGTACAGGGAATATTATTATTGGCATATCAAAAGCAATATTTATAAGAAAAGGTCTTTAAATGCATCTTAATGACATAAAATTATGTGTGAGGGTCAAGCACAAATCTTAGCCTTCGTTCTCATTCCAATTCACACACCTGAAGTTTTCGCACGTCCTGTTGAAGGGCGAGACGCACGCTGATCATGTTTCTCAGCTCGGGTTCTGAACTCTCGATGTAGGTGACAAGCTCGTTCCCGACTTGACTCAGCGCGGCCTGTTCTTCGGGAGAAAGACGTGACCCGCGGCTCGACACCAAGACGGGGAGCCTTCTCACGATCCTCATCACTTCCGGAAGCCGCGAATCCAAGGCCTGTGGAAAGTGGGAAACGGCATTGTGGAATACAAACAGTGCTAGTTGTAATAAAGTAGGTTTTCCTTAACATACATTATCCTTCTGCCACACACGTTATTGACTGTCTACTGTAAGATTCCGAGCAAGAGCTCCCTCCTCCCTTTTTCAGGGGATTTCAAATACCTTTTTTCCTCCAACTATTCTCACTGTTTTATTCACTATTTTCATTCACCCAATGATGGTCGATGAAAACAGTGAATGCACACATATTCTATAAAGCATTTATTAAAAGCACAGGTGCGCACTCTTTATTCTTAGCAGCTCTTCCACCGTCATCCAGAATTTCAATCCATGTTCAAGCAAGGTCTACCCCTCCATACTTTGTCAAATTATCTGTCATCGTAGGGAGATGCTTGCTCAGGATTTTACGATGTATGTATATGCTTGAACTTTGCATAATTTGATGCCAAGCTGTTGGAGACCAAGTTTAGAGCAAGTGGGAGAGTTAAAATAAATTAAGGTGTATTTTACAGCAATTAAATCTTTAATTATAACATAACTAATTAGTATCTAATTACTGTACATTTAGTCGTGCTATATTTAATCATGAGCCAATTTTCATGACACCCTCAAATTACACGCGAAAGTTATCGGTTGTCAGCAAACATTTCTAGGAGAGTCCAAAAAATATTTCGAAATGTTTTCCGAAATGCCCCATGTTAATCCTCTTGTTAAATAAAACATGCTACCGTCTTCATCAAAGTGATTGGATGTAGTAGAAACATTTTGAACAAAAGTGATAAGTAAAAACTTTCGGCAACAAAATGCCTAATTTACCATTAGCACGGTGCTTGTGGTCTCTTCCCTGCCAATAGTGCGCAGAAATGGCAAAAGCGAGTCGCGTCTCCAAGTGAGGACGCTGTGTCGCAAACGGTTACGTTTCTGAGAAAGAAGATAATCAGATCTTGTTCCTTTGACAAAAATCAATCGGAGAAAGGCAAACGAATGATGCACAGTCACAGTTTGTCGGTGATTGCAAGATTGCCTGGAGAGTGCCACAACTAATCGGACCGCATTCCTGTTGGCTGGAAGTTCGCGTTATTCGTTTGTCAAAGCCATGTGCGAGACGTCTCACCTGCACCGATTCTTGATTATCCGCAGGACCTGACAGAACACTCTTGGCTTGCCTTCGGTAGACGATGATTAGCTGGATGATGCGCAGGTAAATGATGCGGAACCTTCGTGGCTCAATGTCGGCGTCGTCTTCCAATTCCTGCAGGCTGGACGCTATCTGGGCCCACGTGTCGCGCAAGGACTCCGGGCTTGATTCCGATGGTGCTTCGTCTAGCCATGACGAGGGTGTAGCGGTGTCCTTAAAAGAGAACATGGCAAAGGTTAGCTCCGATCGATGCCTGCCCTCGCCATACTTGCCGTAACGGCACCATGCACCCAATAGTGTAACCTAGAGGCTGGTAACTTTACACATGTGATCGTATGACTGGCTATACTCTCGTGAGCGTATGAAAGGGAACACACAAATTTTAAAAACGTCACAGTGATACACGTTCGTTCGCCACGCAGAAATGTCTCAGAAACTTGAATGCTCAACCGGAATTTTTCCATTGAATATGTTGGACTTCAACAACCGCTTCAAAATTACTTAGAAATGAATTTATTATACACTCCAATATTGCTCACGAATGCACAGAGGTTGCATGACGTTTGAATATTCAGCGGGAATCGTTGACTCGATTTGCACTTAGCAGCCCCAATTGATCTATCTCGTAATACTTAGTTCTTGTACAAGGTGTGCAACACGTCAACAACTGCAGTCTACCATGCGACAGCACTTGCTAAACTCGATGACAATTTAAATAAAATATCTTGGTACAACGCGATTGCACATTCAAAATATAGCGTGCAAGTACGAAAGCACAAAATGCAAGGATACCAAGGTGAATGAGATGCAAACACAAATGTCAAATGCCAACTAAAATTTTATTGGACAAAGAATAAACTACACCATCAAAGATTTGAACATCAGTTAGCACAAACCTGATCTCTGTACAGTAAAACTGTGTTATAAAAATTGACAATTGAATAATGGGCTAGTTGGTAGTACAAAATTCATGCAGTAGCACAAATAATTACATGGACAGTAATACGCATGCACTAGTGATGCGTTCTATCTAGCTTTATTGCTGTTCATATGCTTCATTGTGCTACTGCAAGAATTAGGATTAGGGCATAATTAAACACTAGTTAAGGTTGAAATGTGATTTTTTTAATAGAACACTTTGTAATGTTTCCCTTTCATTTAGGTGCAGCATTTCACCAAGTGCTAAGACTTAGTCCAAATATATTTTTAGTCATTGGTGCTTTTTATCTAAGCCATATACCAGAATAGATACTTTGGTAAAATTGGGAAGATGACCGTTCCTTGCTACACAGTTTGATGCCTTACTCGAGCACCACGATGCACTTTGCGTGGCCCAGTGAAAATGTGCTTACCACGGAGGGTTGGCTGGCACGGTGTACTTCTTGCAGAACTTGTTCGGTCGTGGGAGTGCCGTCGGTCTCCTGCTGAGGCACCGACTCTGGGCTTCTCAGCAGCTTGAGCACGGCGCACTCGTGGTCTTGCAGAGACTGGTTCAGTTCCTGATGAAGAGAGGCAAAAATAAGTTTTTTTTCTGTTTTTGCATTCGAAGGTGTGCAATACTGATTGTTGGCCTATTTGGTACTTGCTTTATGACATGCTTTGGCCGCAAATAACACACACACACACACAAAGTAAAGAAACACTCAACGACAAGCACAAGCGGCTTGTTCTTGTCGTTGAGTGTTCCTTTAGTTTGCATGAGTGTTATTTGCGGCCAAAGCATGAAGGTGTGCGGTTGCTCGAACACTGAATTGGGGTTGCCATTTCCACCGTCACATCTCTTCCCAATACGTTTTCTAACTAGTCCCGTTGCAATCTTAAATGAAATGATCTTTTGTATAGGGTCACCCATTTACATAAATGATGATATATGGTGTTTTTTGGCGCAAGGGCCATTTGATGGCCAAAGAGTGCCAGTTCATGGGACAAGGAATGTGGACAATGATTGTGATTAGCGGCTGTATAAGGGCCATAAAATTCCTCGCGGTAAGGCGGGTAAGAACATACAAGTAATAAAATCATGACCATGCCGTGAAAGGTGTGTGTGGTGCGAATAGATGACAAAAGTTGGTGATAATAAAAACAATGGTGGACATGTATGACATTAGCAGAAGTGCCTCACTTGTTCATACCCTTGCGTCCAAGGGCCGTGAGGCAAGTGCTTTGTTGTGTAGCCACCGCAGCGAAAACCTCTCTGCAGAGGTCGTGGTACGGAATGCCCGGGTATATGATATGAAAACTATGAATTTCTTTTAAAAACGCTAACAATAATTTATGACTAAAAAGCGGTTCCCTACCGACGAACATTGCAGGGTGTAAAGGTATATGTTGTCGGTAGGGTAATGGAAAATGTTGTTTTCTTAGAGTTTCTAAGTGTTTGCACTGGATTAACATGTGAAGGACTGTTAATGCTTCACCACATCTGTCGCACAATGGTGGATCGTCACCAGACAAAAGATAAGTGTGTGTCGCATATGTGTGTCCTATCCCGAGTCTCGTTAGTATTACCTCTGTATGACGCGATTTCGATACGGGCAGCCAATGACCAAGGTGTGGCTTAATAACGTGTAGCTTGTTTTGTGTGTGTCTGTCCCACTTGCTCTGCCAGTAGTCCCTGAGCTTTCGTTTGAGAGACGGCTTAAGATCAAGGGCTGGAATTGATATGGGTGTAGTAGCGGTGCCCTCGTGGACGGATGCCGCAAGCTGATCTGCCATCACGTTGCCTTGAATCTCACGGTGCCCTGGCACCCAGCACACTACAACATGTTGGTTGAGTGTGTAGAGTGTGCATAAAATGGAGTAAAGTGAGCGTTACATAAGCGTTATCCATTTACATAAGCGTTATCGAATGAAAACGTCTAGCTTCACGCTTAAAAACGGCGCAAAATAAAAACAGGACACAGGACTAGTGCTGTCTCGTGTTCTATTTTGCGCTGTTTGAACTATGAATACATACTATCTGGCTTGCATTCAGAAGCTATGCTGTTTAGCTGTTGTTTTTACTTCACACAAACTTAGCCTCCTTTATTGCAAAAGTCAAATGAAACGAAGGCAATCGGAAGGAGTGCAACATGTTGCACACCAGAGAAAGCTATCGTAGCGTGAGGGAAGGAATGCTTCATTAAGCAGCTCACGTTGCCGCCTTGGAGCTGCTGTCACTGCTTGATACAACACGACTTCCCAGCTGGTTAGGGGTAGACATTTTTTGCTCTATGTTGTTAATTTCTCGCTAATAGTGTCAGTGCCATCAGACTCACTGGTGCCACATTAAACACTGCGTCATGTTTACCCACCCGTACAAGTTCAAAGGAGGAGATATTGGCTGAAACAGCTTCTGGCATGCCTCTGCAAGAATATATTCAACTGTAGCTAGCCTCATCATCCTCGTCCTCATATAAAGCGGCCGTTTAGTGTCATCGGAGAGCTCCTTCCAATTGCATAAATGTTGTAACCCAAACGTGCGCACTAGTGCGCTCGGTGGAACAATTTGAGGGTTAGGTTAGCGCGAATCAAAACACGGTCGATGAATTAAAGCACTACCTGAACGAACTGCCGCCTCGGAAGAGCTTCCTCACTGCCAGAGGCCAGCAGCTCCTCTTCCTCTTTCCTGTCCTGCTCGACTGCCTGGAGACGATCCTCGATTGCGCGCGCCCGCTCTTCCAAGAGGTTGTACACGTTTCCGAGTTCACTCTGCAGGAGCGCAAACCTCTCTAGGGCGTCCCGGTTGGTCTCCGGCGATAGCAGTCGTGACTGGGCTTCCAGGTCTGCCAGCTGGGATTCGCGAGATGCAGTCTCGGGCACGAGTCGCTGCAAGAGATGTAACACGAGAAATCAGTTGCACAAAGCGAGAAGGGGACGAATGGTGCTTTTAGAACGACGTAACGCCAAAATCAAGCCAAAGAGAAATTAAGTCAAGCTACACTGAAAGAATATGCTTGTGTGATAACTAGGATTGTGCAAATATTCAAACACTTCGAATATTTGAACAAATATTAACATACTAAAATTTGTTTCGATTCGAGTTCCAATTATTGGAAATTTCCAATTATTCGAAACAAAAGAATAGGTGTATATAGACTGCATGTAACCCCTTTGTAAAGGTGGTTTCAGTACAGTGGAGGGGTGCTATCCTGTGAAACAACTTGCCAATAAAAGTCTGCACGGCTGTAAAGCCTCATTTTAAAGTTAAATGAACGTACTACACTCACATTGATTTTTCCTTTAAGTTTAAAAGCTTGTTAAGGCTTAAATGCTCTAAGTATAGTACATTTTAAAACATAACTTATTTTGCAGGTTATCACTTGCATTTTGCCAAAAGTCAAATCCAGCTACTATTCAAAGTTGCTTCCACTTGCTTTGAACCAAGAATGACATTCACACAAGCCTTGTTTCGACTAAAAAGTATTGTGTAGGTTAGTTGGGTCATGACTAATATACTTATTTTCCTTCATAATATGCAAATTCGATTTGAAGTTACTTAAACCAAATCACTATTCGCTTTGAACCTAAAGTTTCCTGTTCACACAAGCCAATAGCCAATTTACCATTCCTGACAAGGACAGATAATTTGTAAGCAAGGTCATTGCTATTGGCCGCGAGGACCTTCACTAGAGAGGCCAGCGCCACGATTGTTTTGACGTCACAGATAGGATGGGTAGTTATGGAATAAGGCAACTTCACTTTAGCGACACCACTTGCATCGTCCCCCATGGCTGCACCTGTTTTTAGTTGCGATTTTACGATGAAAATTAGACACGCGAGTGTCACCAGGGGTACCGATCCATAGTTTGCTTGCCAGTATTATCAGGTCTTACCGCTTCTTTAAGCACTGAGCTTTAAAACAAAGGGAAGCACGCACGATGTCCACAGAAAAAGCACAGAAAATGCGGTGCTCTAGCAGACAACACAACCCGGCATCCTATGAGTGACATCATCACGTAGGTGGCACCACGATATGTCCTCGAGGCCAATTACGATTACCTGATGCTGCAACCATTGCTGTCAGTAGTGCAGATAAGAAAAAAGACCAACTTCGCACAATATGCGAGAAAGCGCTAGAGAATGTAATGGAACAATTATGTTGAACTCGGGGATTAGGGTTGTTGAGAGACAAAATGAATTAACTTTGCAGCAGACTCATATCGATTATGGGTAACGATTGTCGTTCAAAGCAGCAGGTAGCAAAAAGGGATGAGAGAAATTGTTAGTCCTGGCCCAGATGGCCTCTGATGTTGGTAATCTCAAGGGAGACGTTGCACAGTTACATGCACATGAAAAAGAGAACAAGAAACCGTGTGATAAAATGGTAAGAGCCATCAGCCAAAACGCTCACCCTCAGCTCCTGAAGCAGGTCTCGCAGCACGACAGGGTTGCTGAGAGCGTCGAGGTGAACTCCGAGCAGCCTTTGCAAATCGATGAGCCACACGTGAAGCGATTCTAGGCCAAGCCAGAACTGCATGCTCCTTTCATCCTAATAATAAAAAAGATTAAGCAACAATTTAGTGACAGATGCAAGAAAAATACATATTATACATAAGCACCTCTTCCGCTTCTGTTATCTTTAATTCTCCTTTACCATCACAGTACTTCTGGTTCATCACAAGTCTTCTAGGTACCCCATTCAGGCCACGATCTCACTCTCAATTGCCATTTATATTCATGTACAGGCTTTCGTTTCACACTTTCCAGTTTTAACCCTATCTGGTAAACCATTCCGCGACATAGTTGACTTGATCAGGTCTAGACTGAATTTAGTTCAGGTCTGCACTTTCAGCTGGAATCTTAGGAAGAGTTCATACAGTTATGTTTAATTAAGCTTTAATTAGCATTTACCTCTTCACATTTCCACTATACAATAATCATCACCTCTGTACTTTAAACTGGCTTCACAGCAAGCATTGACACTCCTTAATGCAAATACATTAAAATAACACGTCTTGACACAGGTTCTGCACAAATTCAGCAGTGAAGGCTCAGAAAGGAGTGACATCAAACAGAAACCTGGATACCATAAGCTACCTTCGTCATAACTACGTAAGTAGTGTCAGACAAGCAATACATTCTTTTCATCCCGTATCTATTACGTACTTCAAATGACATGAAACATCTTAAATTTACTTCATTACATTCACATTAGCTACATCAAGGTATGACTCTGCTCAGATGGGCAACCCATGTGATGGGTAGTTTACTGCTAAATCAAAGAACTATTTGGTACTCAATCAAATATGAATCCGGCATTCTTTACACATGTGCAAAAATGTACTTTTTTGGACTTGTAAAAGTGAACCACTTCGTATGCATACAGACAACAGGCCACTGGTCTCTGTTTTCTATTAAATAGAAATGCACACGAAGGGACACGAAGGGTGCTGTCTCCTTTTCTTGCCTCAGTTTCTTCAGCTTCATCTGGTGCAGCTGGTATTCCCACCAAGACAATGTACCAACTTGCCCAACAAGCCACCCTAAAGAAATGCGCACCTTCACAATTGCAGATGTGAGTAACTCCTGACCAAAACGAAAACTAGGATATTGAGATATCAAATGTTGTTCTTGCCTCACACCTACCTCAAGACAGTAACAACATTGGGAATAACAATACTTCCTGTATCTTTTTCGAGCCAAGACTGCATTCTCTTCACAACTCTCCGCTCATAATTACCAGGCACAATGGCACACTCTCTTTAACTGGTTGGTTAAATGGTTTTTGAGAGGTTGGTTCAATTATAAATGATTAAATGATTTTGAAAAGTTGTTTATATAGCTGTTTAACTAGTTGGTTAAAGTGGATTTATGTTTCTGAAGCTTCAATCAAGCACCAAAGCTTCATTCTTCTCGAGTGTAATAGCATATACGGCAGACTGGAACAGTCACAACTTAAACGACGTACTTAAGAAAGCAAAAGCAGAAAAGAGAGGCTGCAAGACAAATGGGCCAGGTAACTTTCAGCTAGCAGATAAAAAGCAGTCGTATTGATCAGCGAGAAAACATGCATTCTCAAACACTGAAAGACTGGGATCAACCAGTGGCTTCAAGTAATTCAAGACGCACCATGACAGGCTTTGGTGACTCCGGCTGAGCTGCCGATGACTTTGTTGAGTCAAGCTGCTCTGCTAGTCGCTGAAGCTGATCCGACAGTTCGCCGTAGCGCCTCGCCATTTCTGGGTGCTCTGAATGGTACTTCTCCAAGCTCTGACACACATCTGGGTCGTACAGCTGTCTAGACACATCGTCAATCAGCCGTTGTGCTTCCTGAAAAAGTAATAGCAAAACATTGTGGCAGGTATGAGTTTTCTGCATGTACACAACTCCTAAGTACAATGCCTGAGCATTTACAAAGTTCAGATAGAATTTTTTTTAGCTCAAACTGAATGACACACGAATGCCATAAGGTGCATAAAAAAAAAATCAGCAGTGTGTTTCAGCGTTCTTTTTTCAGATTGTTAGTGAAGAGATCACGAGGGTGAGCAGATGAAATGCACAAGCTTTCGTATCGCAATTTACACAAGTAACTTAACAACTTGTCCAACAAAAAGTTACTTTCACGGGGAAGGCTTGTGTTACCCAGTGTGTTTAGGTTCACAAGCGGAAGTGCCGATCATGTATGTATGCCTTGCTTGTATGATTTCTCATCAAATTTCGGTCAAGAGACTTGTAGAGCTAATCGATAGATTGGAAAAGGCACAGAAATTTCGAGAGATATCCCACAAAGAAATGAGTCAAGGCTTCTGTGACTTGACATTGTTCCATGTAAGAGGCACCCCTTGATAGACTTGGGCCACAGTTAGGCATATAACTTGGTCAAGTGCACTTCCAACGGCGTTTAGATGCCTCTCTCGATAGGTGCAAACATGATAATAGGACTAATTGATTGTAATATAATATCAGTTACGTAGGAAACTCTCTATGAACATAATTTTGGCTACTGAACTGTGCATTTTTTCTGTGAAGATTATCCAGTTACAAGGTGATAAAGGCTGTCAGTGGTGACTCAAACAGATGCAAGTACCGAATTAAAAGCGAAACAAGGAAGATGCTGAAGCAAGAAAGAAACACTGAAGCGAAACACTACTTTTGACGGATAAATTATGCTCTGAAAACTCTAGTGTCATCAATTTTACCACTATATGTTTATTATTAGGTTAGAAAATAAGTGCCAAAATTTTAACTTCATCACTTAAAGCCAAAATATCGGACAGTTATGTCACGAATTTCAGCATGTTTCCCGTACTTTATCACAATGGTTCAATGAAATTTCCTGGAACTTAGTGTTGTAAAGTCTCTGGCTTGTTCAGGAGATAATGTGCTTTTAGTGTTGTAAAGTCTCTGGCTTGTTCAGGAGATAATGTGCTTTTAGTGTTGTAAAGTCTCTGGCTTGTTCAGGAGATAATGTGCTCTATTTTTACCAATTAGCAACTATGCGACCCCAAGCCGATGCCATCAACATCTATGACTTTACCGCACTTGTTGTGGGAACATTGAAGAACCCTTGGCAATGAAATTGGAATCTGTAGATGCTTGTGTTGTTTGTCCTGTATGCGGGGTACTTATTACCGATTGTTAGTACTGGACATTAGCTTTAACGTACATTAACTTGGTTTTAGAATAAGCACAAGTGCTCGACTGAGTTGACAGCACCTTGCGGCGTCGCCACCGAAGCCCCGTGTGACGTTCCACGGTTAAGGCGAGTACTGTCGACGTCGGAGAACATTTGCGGTTTGGGCACAATACTCCAACTGGCACTCGAGCAAAAGCGCCACCCTCCTCGATTTGTTGTTAGGCTGCTCTCAAGGTGGTTTTGGCTGCTTACGCCAGGAATGCTCTTCTTTTTCTGAGGGGGATGCGCTCAAAGCACCCACTTTGGTTCATTCTTCACTGTGTGCGGACCCCCAAATTTGAATACGGCGGATTCATTTTCGCCATTTACCTTTACGTGTTGCCGAAGCTTCAGCGCACGTAGTCTCAGCTGCTTCCCCACTGTGGGGCGCTAGTTTCTTATGGACTGTTTAGGCAGGTGTTTTGAACTACGCTAAAGTAATCAATCACCGGCACTAGTATTACTTCTACGCTGGATTAGAGCACTTATGGTTCAATATTAGAACTACCAGACACAAAGCTACAAACCGCAGTAAAACAGTCTCAAACAAAACTTTTGTTTTCAGGGGTCCTTTAGGATGGTGTTGCCACCTGAATTTTTATATTGCACATTTTCTCGCTTACCAAGCATCCTCTTGCAGCAAGTGTGGAGTTTCTGATATAGCGAAAGATCAATTTTCTAGTACGAAAAAAAATTGATTTTTTCTTCAATGCCCCTTTATTAGAAAAATCTTTTCAACATACCTGTATCTTTTGCTGCCTTTCATTGCCTCGGAAAGAGGAAGCTTCCTTCAGGAGCTTCTCAATTATAAAGATCCTCCGGAAGACCAGAATTATGACGGTGGTAACCTGCGAAGGCCATTTGGTGTCGACTATCCAATCGGGTAGAGGTTCTTCACTGTCCACACCAGATGAAGTTGGCGATTTCACCGGCCTTCCTTCCACAGTGCCCGGTGAAGAACGCAAAACTGTCTCTGTTGACTTTTCTCCACCGTCACTCTGAACAAATTCTACAGGTATCCACTGAGTGTCTTCGCTGTATCTTTCAAAATGCCCTTGAACTAAAGGAGCATCTTCTTTTTGTGAAGCAGCCCCAAAACTTGGTAACCAACTGTGCAGCTTTTGGCTCATGCTCGATTGTTGTCCAGGAGGTGCAGTGTAAAATGTGGTAGCATCGGCTTTGACAAACTCATCGACCTTCTCAGAACTGGGTTGAGCCGACCTTTGTGGAACCGGTGCTTGAGCTGTGTAGTCTGTCACATCTTGATGGTCTCCTTCAGTGACCCATCGAGGAGCCAGAACTTGTCCCAACACCTCTGGTAAGAAACCTGGTGGTGGAGGACTCCTACTCTCACGAAACGCTGAAGGTTTGTCACGCTCCGATGGCGGCGATGGGGACTTTGACAGCGATCGCCGACCAGCGTGACTTGACACCGCTGACGCCACAAGAAACGTCTCACCCTTTTGCTTTTGTTTGTGCTTCTTTTGTCGTCCCTTTGGCACCTTTGGCTCATCGTGTGGACGGTGACTGTGCAACACTGAAAAAGAGTCATCGGTTCCAGTGGAATAAACTGAAGTGTTATCATCCTGCTCACTTGAAACATCACACGAATGGTACCGCTCTGAAATGATTCTCGAGTCTCCTCCCCCAGATGCACTCGGGACATTGCCAATGATGGACTCCAGTCCTTCAATGACACTTGGTGGCGATGAAGCGCCTGCGCCAGGGTGCAATCTGTCATCAAAACTTGTATCAAGTTCAAAAGGAGCTGAAGGCACAGCTCGCTCAAACTCAACAACTGGCTGGGGTGCTGTGTCATGCTCATCATTACCACGTGGCTTAGAATCACCAGAACGAATGTTTGTATGAGGCGACACAAGCACAGCACTTCCTTCAGAGTCTAGCAAGATCGGGGCCGCAGGCTCGGCCTGTTTATCTGTACTGACTGGTGCAACAGGCTTCGCCTGTTCATCAGTACTGTCCCAAGATGTAATGCTCTTTGCAGCCGCCACCAAGCTCGAGAACCACCCCTGGCGTTGCCTCTTTTCTGTTTCTTGTCGAGTATGCATCTCTTGTGTGCCTCCACTTCGAGTATCACTGGGTTCAATAACAGACGAAGGCACAACCTCTTCATGCAACTCCTCTTCATCTCTAACAAAGCCAGAAACATCAAAGATCACGCCAGTTTTGCTTTTTACTTCTGGCTCCTCAGGTGTCTCTTTCCAACTAAAGATAGATGCAAGGGGCTCCTTTCCAGGTGTGCGCTCTCTGCTTGGATGTCTCGTGGGCTCCTGCTTGTAAGTTACAGGCTTTTCAAGGAACCCTGGTAGCTTGTCGCCTTCCTGGGTTATACGAGTCATTTCAGTGACAATGACAGTATCTGGTTCTTTCTGGTCCTGTGGCTCGTCCAAAGGCTTCTTCGTCTTGCCCTTCTTCCCGGGCTCCTTGTCATCACCTTCTGGCTGCTCAGGTGTTTCTTTCCAGCCAAAAATAGCAGAAGTGGGCTCCTTTCCAGGTGTGCCCTCTGTGCTCGGAAGCTTCATGGGCACCTGTGTGTCACTTGCTGGCTCTCCTGGGAACCCTGGTAACTTGTCCCCTTCCTGGATGATACGAGTCACTTCTGGGACAATGACACTTTCTGGTTTTTTCTCGTCCTGACACTCATCAGAAGGTTTCTCTGGCTTGTGCTTAATTTTTTTCCCAGGCTCCTTGTCATCACTTTCTGGCTGCTCAGGTGTTTCTTTGCACCCAAAGATAGCAGAAGTGGGCTCCTTTCCAGGTGTGCCCTCATTGCTCGGAAGCTTCGTGGGTGCCTGTGTGTCACTTGCAGGCTCTCCTGGGAACCCTGGTAGCATGTTGCCTTCCTGTATTATTCGAGTCACTTCTGTGATAATGACGGTGTCTGGTTCTTTCTGGTCTTTTGGCTCAACTGAAGGTTTCTTCGGCAGGCCCTCCTTTTTCTTCCCAAGCTCCTTGTCATCACTTTCTGGTTTCTCAGGTGTTTCTTTCCAGCCAAATATAGTGGAAGTGGGCTCCGTTCCAGGTGTGCCTTCCCTGCTTGGAAGCTTCGTAGGCTTCTCGGTGTCACTTCCAGGCTTTCCTGGAAATTCTGGAAGCTTGTCACCTTCCTGGATGATACGAGTCAGTTCAGTGATAACGACGGTGTCTGGTTCTTTCTGATCCTTTGGTTCATCCGAAGGTTTCTTCGGCTTGCCCTTCTTTTTCTTCCCAGGCTCCTTGTCATCACTATCTGGCTGCTCAGGTGTTTCTTTCCAGCCAAAGATAGTAGAAGTCGGCTCCTTTCCAGGTGTGCCTTCCCTGCTTGGAAGCTTCGTAGGCTTCTCGGTGTCACTTGCAGGCTTTCCTGGGAACCCTGGTAGCTTGTCGCCTTCCTGTATTATACGAGTCACTTCAGTGATAATGACGGTGTCTGGTTCTCCCTCGTCTTTTGGCTCATCTGAAGGTTTTTTCGGCTTGCCCTCATTTTTCTTCCCAGGCTCCTTGTCATCACTATCTGGCTGCTCAGATGTTTCTTTCCAGCCAAAGATAGTAGAAGTCGGCTCCTTTCCAGGTGTGCCCTCCCTGCTTGGAAGCTTCGTAGGCTTCTCAGTGTCACTTCCAGGCTTTCCTGGAAACTCTGGAAGCTTGTCACCTTCCTGGATGATACGAGTCAGTTCAGTGATAACGACGGTGTCTGGTTCTTTCTGATCCTTTGGTTCATCCGAAGGTTTCTTCGGCTGGCCCTTCTTTTTCTTCCCAGGCTCCTTGTCATCACTATCTGGCTGCTCAGGTGTTTCTTTCCAGCCAAAGATAGTAGAAGTCGGCTCCTTTCCAGGTGTGCCCTCCCTGCTTGGAAGCTTCGTAGGCTTCTCGGTGTCACTTGCAGGCTTTCCTGGGAACCCTGGTAGCTTGTCGCCTTCCTGGATGATACGAGTCACTTCAGTGATAACGACGGTGTCTGGTTCTTTCTGATCCTTTGGTTCATCCGAAGGTTTCTTCGGCTTGCCCTTCTTTTTCTTCCCAGGCTCCTTGTCATCACTATCTGGCTGCTCAGGTGTTTCTTTCCAGCCAAAGATAGTAGAAGTCGGCTCCTTTCCAGGTGTGCCCTCCCTGCTAGGAAGCTTCGTAGGCTTCTCGGTGTCACTTGCAGGCTTTCCTGGGAACCCTGGTAGCTTGTCGTCTTCCTGGATGATACGAGTCACTTCAGTGATAACGACGGTGTCTGGTTCTTTCTGATCTTTTGGTTCGTCCGAAGGTTTCTTCGGCTGGCCCTTCTTTTTCTTCCCAGGCTCCTTGTCATCACTATCTGGCTGCTCAGGTGTTTCTTTCCAGCCAAAGATAGTAGAAGTCGGCTCCTTTCCAGGTGTGCCCTCCCTGCTAGGAAGCTTCGTAGGCTTCTCGGTGTCACTTGCAGGCTTTCCTGGGAACCCTGGTAGCTTGTCGCCTTCCTGGATGATACGAGTCACTTCAGTGATAACGACGGTGTCTGGTTCTTTCTGATCCTTTGGTTCATCCGAAGGTTTCTTCGGCTTGCCCTTCTTTTTCTTCCCAGGCTCCTTGTCATCACTATCTGGCTGCTCAGGTGTTTCTTTCCAGCCAAAGATAGTAGAAGTCGGCTCCTTTCCAGGTGTGCCCTCCCTGCTAGGAAGCTTCGTAGGCTTCTCAATGTCACTTGCAGGCTTTCCTGGGAACCCTGGTAGCTTGTCGCCTTCCTGGATGATACGAGTCACTTCAGTGATAACGACGGTGTCTGGTTCTTTCTGATCTTTTGGTTCATCCGAAGGTTTCTTCGGCTTGCCCTTCTTTTTCTTCCCAGGCTCCTTGTCATCACTATCTGGCTGCTCAGGTGTTTCTTTCCAGCCAAAGATAGTAGAAGTCGGCTCCTTTCCAGGTGTGCCCTCCCTGCTTGGAAGCTTCGTAGGCTTCTCGGTGTCACTTGCAGGCTTTCCTGGGAACCCTGGTAGCTTGTCGCCTTCCTGGATGATACGAGTCAATTCAGTGATAACGACGGTGTCTGGTTCTTTCTGATCCTTTGGTTCATCCGAAGGTTTCTTCGGCTTGCCCTTCTTTTTCTTCCCAGGCTCCTTGTCATCACTATCTGGCTGCTCAGGTGTTTCTTTCCAGCCAAAGATAGTAGAAGTCGGCTCCTTTCCAGGTGTGCCCTCCCTGCTTGGAAGCTTCGTAGGCTTCTCAGTGTCACTTGCAGGCTTTCCTGGGAACCCTGGTAGCTTGTCGCCTTCCTGGATGATACGAGTCACTTCAGTGATAATGACGGTGTCTGGTTCTTTCTGATCTTTGGCTCATCCGAAGGTTTCTTCGGCTTGCCCTTCTTTTTCTTCCCAGGCTCCTTGTCATCACTATCTGGCTGCTCAGGTGTTTCTTTCCAGCCAAAGATAGTAGAAGTCGGCTCCTTTCCAGGTGTGCCCTCCCTGCTTGGAAGCTTCGTAGGCTTCTCGGTGTCACTTGCAGGCTTTCCTGGGAACCCTGGTAGCTTGTCGCCTTCCTGGATGATACGAGTCACTTCAGTGATAACGACGGTGTCTGGTTCTTTCTGATCCTTTGGTTCATCCGAAGGTTTCTTCGGCTTGCCCTTCTTTTTCTTCCCAGGCTCCTTGTCATCACTATCTGGCTGCTCAGGTGTTTCTTTCCAGCCAAAGATAGTAGAAGTCGGCTCCTTTCCAGGTGTGCCCTCCCTGCTTGGAAGCTTCGTAGGCTTCTCGGTGTCACTTGCAGGCTTTCCTGGGAACCCTGGTAGCTTGTCGCCTTCCTGGATGATACGAGTCACTTCAGTGATAATGACGGTGTCTGGTTCTTTCTGATCCTTTGGTTCATCCGAAGGTTTCTTCGGCTTGCCCTTCTTTTTCTTCCCAGGCTCCTTGTCATCACTATCTGGCTGCTCAGGTGTTTCTTTCCAGCCAAAGATAGTAGAAGTCGGCTCCTTTCCAGGTGTGCCCTCCCTGCTTGGAAGCTTCGTAGGCTTCTCGGTGTCACTTGCAGGCTTTCCTGGGAACCCTGGTAGCTTGTCGCCTTCCTGGATGATACGAGTCACTTCAGTGATAACGACGGTGTCTGGTTCTTTCTGATCCTTTGGTTCATCCGAAGGTTTCTTCGGCTTGCCCTTCTTTTTCTTCCCAGGCTCCTTGTCATCACTATCTGGCTGCTCAGGTGTTTCTTTCCAGCCAAAGATAGTAGAAGTCGGCTCCTTTCCAGGTGTGCCCTCCCTGCTTGGAAGCTTCGTAGGCTTCTCGGTGTCACTTGCAGGCTTTCCTGGGAACCCTGGTAGCTTGTCGCCTTCCTGGATGATACGAGTCACTTCAGTGATAACGACGGTGTCTGGTTCTTTCTGATCCTTTGGTTCATCCGAAGGTTTCTTCGGCTTGCCCTTCTTTTTCTTCCCAGGCTCCTTGTCATCACTATCTGGCTGCTCAGGTGTTTCTTTCCAGCCAAAGATAGTAGAAGTCGGCTCCTTTCCAGGTGTGCCCTCCCTGCTTGGAAGCTTCGTAGGCTTCTCGGTGTCACTTGCAGGCTTTCCTGGGAACCCTGGTAGCTTGTCGCCTTCCTGGATGATACGAGTCACTTCAGTGATAACGACGGTGTCTGGTTCTTTCTGATCCTTTGGTTCATCCGAAGGTTTCTTCGGCTTGCCCTTCTTTTTCTTCCCAGGCTCCTTGTCATCACTATCTGGCTGCTCAGGTGTTTCTTTCCAGCCAAAGATAGTAGAAGTCGGCTCCTTTCCAGGTGTGCCCTCCCTGCTTGGAAGCTTCGTAGGCTTCTCGGTGTCACTTGCAGGCTTTCCTGGGAACCCTGGTAGCTTGTCGCCTTCCTGGATGATACGAGTCACTTCAGTGATAATGACGGTGTCTGGTTCTTTCTGATCCTTTGGTTCATCCGAAGGTTTCTTCGGCTTGCCCTTCTTTTTCTTCCCAGGCTCCTTGTCATCACTATCTGGCTGCTCAGGTGTTTCTTTCCAGCCAAAGATAGTAGAAGTCGGCTCCTTTCCAGGTGTGCCCTCCCTGCTTGGAAGCTTCGTAGGCTTCTCGGTGTCACTTGCAGGCTTTCCTGGGAACTCTGGAAGCTTGTCACCTTCCTGGATGATACGAGTCACTTCAGTGATAACGACGGTGTCTGGTTCTTTCTGATCCTTTGGTTCATCCGAAGGTTTCTTCGGCTTGCCCTTCTTTTTCTTCCCAGGCTCCTTGTCATCACTATCTGGCTGCTCAGGTGTTTCTTTCCAGCCAAAGATAGTAGAAGTCGGCTCCTTTCCAGGTGTGCCCTCCCTGCTTGGAAGCTTCGTAGGCTTCTCGGTGTCACTTGCAGGCTTTCCTGGGAACTCTGGAAGCTTGTCACCTTCCTGGATGATACGAGTCACTTCAGTGATAATGACGGTGTCTGGTTCTTTCTGATCCTTTGGTTCATCCGAAGGCTTCTTCGGCTTGCCCTTCTTTTTCTTCCCAGGCTCCTTGTCATCACTATCTGGCTGCTCAGGTGTTTCTTTCCAGCCAAAGATAGTAGAAGTCGGCTCCTTTCCAGGTGTGCCCTCCCTGCTTGGAAGCTTCGTAGGCTTCTCGGTGTCACTTGCAGGCTTTCCTGGGAACCCTGGTAGCTTGTCGCCTTCCTGGATGATACGAGTCACTTCAGTGATAACGACGGTGTCTGGTTCTTTCTGATCCTTTGGTTCATCCGAAGGTTTCTTCGGCTTGCCCTTCTTTTTCTTCCCAGGCTCCTTGTCATCACTATCTGGCTGCTCAGGTGTTTCTTTCCAGCCAAAGATAGTAGAAGTCGGCTCCTTTCCAGGTGTGCCCTCCCTGCTTGGAAGCTTCGTAGGCTTCTCGGTGTCACTTGCAGGCTTTCCTGGGAACCCTGGTAGCTTGTCGCCTTCCTGGATGATACGAGTCACTTCAGTGATAATGACGGTGTCTGGTTCTTTCTGATCCTTTGGTTCATCCGAAGGTTTCTTCGGCTTGCCCTTCTTTTTCTTCCCAGGCTCCTTGTCATCACTATCTGGCTGCTCAGGTGTTTCTTTCCAGCCAAAGATAGTAGAAGTCGGCTCCTTTCCAGGTGTGCCCTCCCTGCTTGGAAGCTTCGTAGGCTTCTCGGTGTCACTTGCAGGCTTTCCTGGGAACCCTGGTAGCTTGTCGCCTTCCTGGATGATACGAGTCACTTCAGTGATAACGACGGTGTCTGGTTCTTTCTGATCCTTTGGTTCATCCGAAGGTTTCTTCGGCTTGCCCTTCTTTTTCTTCCCAGGCTCCTTGTCATCACTATCTGGCTGCTCAGGTGTTTCTTTCCAGCCAAAGATAGTAGAAGTCGGCTCCTTTCCAGGTGTGCCCTCCCTGCTTGGAAGCTTCGTAGGCTTCTCGGTGTCACTTGCAGGCTTTCCTGGGAACCCTGGTAGCTTGTCGCCTTCCTGGATGATACGAGTCACTTCAGTGATAACGACGGTGTCTGGTTCTTTCTGATCCTTTGGCTCATCCGAAGGCTTCTTCGGCTTGCCCTTCTTTTTCTTCCCAGGCTCCTTGTCATCACTATCTGGCTGCTCAGGTGTTTCTTTCCAGCCAAAGATAGTAGAAGTGGGCTCCTTTCCAGGTGTGCCCTCCCTGCTTGGAAGCTTCGTGGGTGTCTGAGTGTCACTCACAGGCTTACCTGGGAATCCTGGTAGCTTGTCGCCTTCCTGTATTATACGAGTCACTTCAGTGATAATGACGGTGTCTGGTTCTTCCTCGTCTTTTGGCTCATCTGAAGGTTTTTTCGGCTTGCCCTTATTTTTCTTCCCAGGCTCCTTGTCATCACTATCTGGCTGCTCAGGTGTTTCTTTCCAGCCAAAGATAGTAGAAGTCGGCTCCTTTCCAGGTGTGCCCTCCCTGCTTGGAAGCTTCGTAGGCTTCTCGGTGTCACTTGCAGGCTTTCCTGGGAACTCTGGTAGCTTGTCGCCTTCCTGGATGATACGAGTCACTTCAGTGATAACGACGGTGTCTGGTTCTTTCTGATCCTTTGGTTCATCCGAAGGTTTCTTCGGCTTGCCCTTCTTTTTCTTCCAGGCTCCTTGTCATCACTATCTGGCTGCTCAAGTGTTTCTTTCCAGCTAAAGATAGTAGAAGTCGGCTCCTTTCCAGGTGTGCCCTCCCTGCTTGAACGTTTCGTAGGCTTCTCGGTGTCACTCCCAGGCTCTCCTGGGAACCCTGGTAGCTTGTCGCCTTCCTGGATGATACGAGTCACTTCAGTGATAATGACGGTGTCTGGTTCTTTCTGATCCTTTGGTTCATCCGAAGGCTTCTTCGGCTTGCCCTTCTTTTTCTTCCCAGGCTCCTTATCATCACTTTCTGGCTGCTCAGGTGTTTCTTTCCAGCCAAAGATAGTAGAAGTCGGCTCTTTCCCAGGTGTGCCCTCCCTGCTTGGAAGCTTCGTATGCTTCTCGGTGTCACTTCCAGGCTTTCCTGGGAACTCTGGAAGCTTGTCACCTTCCTGGATGATACGAGTCAGTTCAGTGATAACGACGGTGTCTGGTTCTTTCTGATCCTTTGGCTCATCCGAAGGCTTCTTCGTCTCGCCCTTCTTTTTCTTCACAGGCTCTTTGTCATCACTTTCTGGCTGCTCAGGTGTTTCTTTCCAGCCAATAAAAGTAGACGTGGGCTCCTTTCCAGGTGTGCCCTCCCTGCTTGGAAGCGTCGTAGGCTTCTCGGTGTCACTTCCAGGCTTTCCTGGGAACTCTGGAAGCTTGTCACCTTCCTGGATGATACGAGTCAGTTCAGTGATAACGACGGTGTGTGGTTCTTCCTCGTCTTTTGGCTCATCTGAAGGTTTCTTCGGCTTGCTCTTCTTTTTCTTCCCAGGCTCCTTGTCATCACTATCTGGCTGCTCAGGTGTTTCTTTCCAGCCAAAGATAGTAGAAGTCGGCTCCTTACCTGGTGTGCCCTCCCTGCTTGGAAGCTTCGTAGGCTTCTCGGTGTCCCTTGCAGGCTCTCCTGGGAACCCTGGTAGCTTGTCGCCTTCCTGGATGATACGAGTCAATTCAGTGATAATGACGGTGTCTGGTTCTTTCTGATCCTTTGGTTCATCCGAAGGCTTTTTCGGCTTGCCCTTCTTTTTCTTCCCAGGCTCCTTATCATCACTTTCTGGCTGCTCAGGTGTTTCTTTCCAGCCAAAGATAGTAGAAGTCGGCTTTTTCCCAGGTGTGCCCTCCCTGCTTGGAAGCTTCGTAGGCTTCTCGGTTTCACTTCCAGGCTTTCCTGGGAACTCTGGAAGCTTGTCACCTTCCTGGATGATACGAGTCACTTCAGTGATAATGACGGTATCTGGTTCATTCTGGTCTTTTGGCTCATCTGAAGGTTTCTTCGGCTTGCCCTTCTTTTTCTTCACAGAGTCCTTGTCATCACTCTCTCGCTGCTCAGGTGTTTTTTTCCAGCCAAATATAGTATAAGTGGGCTCCTTTCCAGGTGCGCTTTCCCTGCTCGGAAGCTTCGTGGGTTCCTGCAATTCACTAATAGGCCCTCCTGGTAACTCTGGCACCTTGTCGCCTTCCTGGATAATGCGAGTCACTTCAGTTACAATAATAGTTTCAGGTTTTGTGTGGTCCTGTGGCTTACTTAAAGGCTTCTTTGGCTTGCCTTTTGTTTCCTTGCCAGGGTGCAGGTCATGAGCATCTGATTTATCAGGTATCTCTTTCAAGCCAATCAAGGCCGATGTGGGGTGCTTTCTAGGTGAGCTTCCTATGTCCGGCTCGGGACAATCTTTTCTACATTCCCTGATTATGTCAGCCAATTCTGAAATTAGGTTCTTTTCATCATCATCGTGTTGACCCATTGGTTGAGTACTGCGTGATTTCAATTCAGTTGTTTCCTCTTTCAATTTGTCCACAAGGTGAGGCTGCTCCTCATTTTGATCAGGTTTTTTGAAGTCGGATGTGTCTGTGACTTTTCCTCGAGCCTGTGGAACTTCTTGGTGTACACGAGTGGTGGCCTCATTTAATTTCGGTGTTTTCTCGTTGGTGTGTGGTGTGTACTCTCTGCTTCTTATCACCGACATTTCCTCTGTGACAAGGACTTGAGAATATTGGTTTTGGCTTTGCTCGTCAGTGGACACTTTTGGCTTGTCACTTTTACTCCCGTCCTGTTGTCTGTCGTACTGAGGTTGGTCATCGTGGCCAATGGCCTGTTCTTTCTGTCCTTTCTTCTTTTTGCCTTTGTGCTTTTTATCTTCCTGTAGCTGTGGCTTAGAGCCATCGCTGATGGCTGTTTTTGTATCAGCTACACCGATGATGTCCTGATGACTTGATTTCTGAAGGTACGAAGAGGCATGAATGCCAGTTTTGTTATTAACATTTGGCTGCTGTTTGCTATCTTTTTGTTGGAGCGTTTCTGTATTTTTTGAAAGACTGTCTGTTTGTAAAGGTGAAACAATTGTGGTTGTTGTAATGGTAGGAACCCCATATATTATGGTGAGCGTGCTTTCCTCAGAAGGAACTGTCAATTTTCCTGTTTCTGGTTTGTCTGACAAAACACCATGTTCTGCATTAATAGTGTCGGCTGACTGATGCGGGAAATCTTGAGTCACTTTTTGCGGGGTCGAAGCTTTTCCACCTATGGACGGCTGACTGTAAACAGGCACATAAGAAGGAACTGCACTAGAATCGTCAGGAGACTGTTGCGTCATTTCTGATGCATCACTTTTGAATGTTGCAGCTGTGACAGGATCATCGACTGTGTAACTTGTGGCATTGTTCTTTACACCATGTGGCTTATCGCTCTGGATGCCTGGTGTCACGCCATGTGTAACCTGTGCACTGCCAGGCATTACACGAGGCGTTTTGGCATCACGCACAAGAGATGTGGGCACGCTGTGTGGTTGTGTGCCATCAACATGCGGCATGACAAGTTCCCGAGAGACACCGGCTGGAGTTATATCTTCAGTGGTTGCAAGGGTAGTGTTAGAGCCTTCTAGGTTAGTTTGTACTCTGTCCGTTTCCGTAAGCAGTACAGGTTGCATGGAATCGCGCTTATCGCTGTCAGTCTCAGCCCTTGTCGGCATTACAGGAGTGAGCTCCTCCGGAAGGGGAGCCTTGCTTTTCTTTTTAGATTTCTTCTTCTTCTCCTTCTTTGTTTCACCATCTGACTGGACAGGCTGTTCCTTCTTTGCATTGTCTGTCGGAATCACCTCAGAAGGATGTTTGCTGTCCCCAGAGAACAGGTTCATCGCAAACTTCTTCACTTTTTTGCCGAACCTGTCCAGCGGATTGCTTGATGATTTCGTGTCTTGGACTTGGGGAGCTGGAGATGGAGAGTGGTCCTTCTTTTTTTTCTTGGAACTCTTCTTCAGCTGCTTAGGGTCGCTGCTGTTTGCAGAGACATCATCACCTGTTGCCTTTCTCTCTCCACTTTCTGGGTCTGTCAGTTTCCTAGTTTCAGATGCTAACAGTGGGCTGCTGTTGTCTGGCTGAGGCTGAGACAACAGAGGCTTCACAACAGGCTTTTCATCAGTCTCAGACAATGGTGTAGGCTTTCCAGAATCAACATCCTGTTGCCCAGGCAGGGTCTTGGTGACTATAACTGATGGATATGGACTTACCTTCTTTTGAAGCTCAAGATGTTTTGGATGGCCCTCAGCCGTTTCCTTTTCCTGTTTTTCGAAAGCTTTCACGTCAGTCGGTTGCTGTGGTGCTCCCGACAGTAGTTCTTTGGTTGCGGAACGCACAGCTGTGCCCACGTCTGTTGTGCTTTCTGCGATTCCACGAGGAGGTGATTTGGAGATCCGACTTTTGGCAATTGCAGCATCAACTTCAGCAGTGCCTGGTTCTGGAGCCACGAGCATTGGTTCTTCATTCTGGTCTTCCTTACCTGTTTTCTCGGTGGGCTTGGGACTAAGGAACGAGCGGGTGGGATCGGCAGCTGTTGAGCCTTCGCCAGGTGACAGCTGCCTAACCGTAACGGTGGTACGACTGACGACATTGCGCTGGGTCTCGGATTGAGCTGTCTCGATTTTAGCATCAACCGGAAAAACCAAAGTGCTCGTGACTCCCTTACCAGTTTCTGCTGGCACTTTGCCAGCTGCCCCTTGCTGTTGCTGAGGAGTGTGGTAGCTGGGTTCTTGTTTTGTTGTTGTTTTGGGCTCTTCAAAACCGGTAGGAGGTTGGGAAAGAACATTGGTACCTCCATCAGCAAACGAACTAGGCATCGAGTCCTGGCTGTACCGCGTAGACACTACATTACTTACCGTTTCAGGCCCGCTGTGCCCCTGTAACAACTTACCAGTGTTCACTTCAGATCCTTGCAATCTCACACTGTACCTTTCCGTTACAGTTTGTTTCTCACCGGGTGTTGCATTTGCAGCAACCCCGCCCACGCCCATGCTGTCCAGAGGCCTCACCTTCTCGAGGTCCTCTTCCGGCACTTCCACAAATTCCGCGAAGGACGGAAGTTGGAACGAGTAATGAACAAGCTGAACTTTTTCCTGGAACTTGAGCTCGATGGTCTTCCTCTCCTCCGTGTCTTGCACGACCCTCGAGGAAACCAGGTTAAGTGGTTCCACTTCCCTTTTAAAGTCGCTCTCCACCAACTTGACCTCACCAGGTGCCAACTCTTGCCTGCCGGCAAGTGATGACAGCGCCCTAAGTTCGTCGTCAACGGATGTGTCGCTAACTATTCTAGGCTCTCCCTGCAAGTTGCTCAGTGTGGGCTCTCTAGTACTTGTTGTGACCACCTGGGGCTGGGGTTGTGTGTCGCTTGTGTCGTTCGCTGGGTGCGCAGCTGCAAGGAAAGGCATGGGGGAAGGGCTGCGGTCGTGACGCGTCACCACCCAGCTGGTGCCGAAACGCGTGTGTCCTTCTGTGGGCTGGGACTGCCGGGACTCCCACTGGGGGCTGTCGTGTTCGGAACTCCAGACACCACCGATGGTGTGAACCACGGTCGTCTGTCCTGCTCCCCTCTGAGGCTCCAGGTTTGCTGTGTACGCTTGAATGCCATCAGGACTCGTGAGAGATCTAAATGATTCTGAAAGCTGCCATGACTGGTTGCCTCCGTCAAATTCTGGGCGCAACTGACTGCCCGTGCTGACTGTCGAGACTAGCCTGGTAGTGGTGTGAGTCACCTGAGAGGTTCCATCTGGCCGCTGCTCTCGCGTCACAATGGTCCGCGGTCTAGACTGGTAGATGTACTCCTGGCTTGTGGGGACGTCCATAAACGAACCCGGAGCTTGGCCGGAAAGCTTCGGGATTGTTTGGCTTGATACGTCCGCTCCCTGTAAGCCAAATACTAGGCCGTTAGTCAGGGCCTTGTCTGCGACTGTTCCAGCATGTCATTGTGTGTGCAGCCGAAAGTGACAAGAGCTGATGGAGGAAGTTGCGAAGAAGAGAGAGAGAGGAGACAAAGAGAAAAAGAAAGACAAGGACACAAGGAAAGGTGGTGCAGATGTACAAGTTTGTATTGCCATAAAAAACAGGAGCAAGAAAAGAAACAACATGAAGACACGATATCAGAAGATGAAAACACACCATGCGTGGCACTCTCGTAACAACAAAGTTATGACACAATTATGCAAAAGATATTGCATGAAAAAATGTTTAAGCCCACTGTGAGCCACCCAATGTCCCTTTGTAACGGTCAGATATGACTAGCAAAGGCACTCTCAAATGCAAATGCAACACAACAGAAAAACTTGTTGCCTGTCACACACAGACATGCTAAGGCTTACTAATAAATATGCACGCGGTGATTGCCTTTCCTACGAACTGGCACAGTATCGCAGGACACACAAGCCATTCTCATCAGTGGTGCCTATGCACAAGAAGCAGCAAATGGCAGTACATGAGGTAAAGACCCATGGTAGTAGCAGTAGTAACGGTAGTGGTTGGGGGTCCACAACTGAGATCTACAAAACTCTTTCACGAAAAGCACGCCAAGAAAAAAAAGATAACAAGCATTAGTAGCTGCAGTAGTATTTTCGAGCAGTGGGTAAGGGTGGATTTTGGGGATGCTTTCCAAAGTGCAAATGGGGAAAAAGGAGGGGCAATGTTGATGCTCGATTAGTTTTTTTCGCAGACCAGGCAGGCGACAGGAGCATGATATGTGGTCTTTCGGAGAGGGAGTTCATCCTATAAAAACAGCGGCGGGCATGCGAAGGTGTTGTTCGAATCAAACCTTGGAGGCTGGGTCAAGGCACCCGTCGGAATGGCGCCCAGCATTTTCACCCCCTCCTTCCCCAACAGGTTCCCGAGCGCTTGCCTCTTCAGGCATCCCCTTGCGCTTTTTCTTGGCCTTTTTCTTGCTGGCCGTCTCTTCCAAGGGGGTGCCCTGACGCTGCTCCGGTGAGCCTGCGCCACTCTCATCGGCACCTGTTCTCTGAGGCACAACCCCCACAACCGCGTCCTTGCTCACACCTCCCGACTCGCGCACTCCCCCCGAACCGTCCTCACTGGTAACTGGCTCACTTCTAGACTCGACAACCCCTTCATAGCCGGGCACAGGGCTTCCCATACGGGCCACTTGCGCGTACGTCAACCGTTTTGACTCGCCTGTTGGCGACAACAGTTCTTTTTGCACCGTTTCAATGGACTGTGTTGTTCCGTTCAGTTTCTCGGCACTCTGTGTGTCCACTGTCACTGGGACTTGAACCGCAGAAGTGCGGGAATCTTCGTCTTCCTGTCTGGTGTCCTTTGCAGGATGAGGATGCCTGGCTTCAGGTTGAACTGGCTCGTCGTCGGCACTAGACTCTGCGACCAAAGTCGGCTGTGGACTCGCTCTCCCGGATAGGATTTCCGCGTACGTCGGCCTTGGTGCCAGAGACGCGTCGCTTGAGCTCTCTGCTTGCCTGGAGTCGGCTGCTCCGTGAGACTCATGTGCCTTGCTATCTACTTTCTTCTGTTTGCTCGGCCCATCTTTTGACTTCGCTGCACTTGACGTGGCGTGCTTCTCCTGAGACGTTGTCGGAGCTGAACTCTGTGTCACTGGGGCAATGAGGGTGACGGGAACCTGTTCAGATTCTTCAAGATGTTCTTGGCTTTCAGCCGGCAAACTGTGTGCTCCTCTTGGCAGCTGAAGGAACGGCGTGCCTCTGAAGTCTAAACCTGGCAGTGAGCCGGAAGAAGCCTGTCCTGGTTCAGGTGTAGCTTCTCTGGAAGGGCGGGCGCTGCCACGTGGCGATCGAACGTATCGTTTGTACGATGTGTCTGTGCTGACGTTGAACGGCACCTCGTCGGGCAGCTGTCGCTGGTTCAGTTTGCGTATGTGGTCCTGAAGCTGCGTCATTTGGTGCCGGTACTTTCTGACCTCATCCTTAAGAGCCTGAGTGGAGGGGGAACCGATGTTTGGCGCCGGGGGAGGAAGGAAAGAGAAACAACCAGTGCGTTGGTTACGAGCTGCGTGCTACCCTAGGCACAACCTAGTCGGGAACACAAGCACCACGTGCTTTTTTTTTTTTCTACGTCTACAGCACAACGTCTGCACTTTTTTCTACGTGGGTTGCGAAACGCAGCCACACTGCCATTCTGCTGCTCCACTGTCCACCCTTTATACGGCGGTCAATTTTATAGGACGAACGGTGCGGTCTCTACTTTCTTTGGCCTCCTTTGAACTGGACAAAAAGTAATACTCGTTAATATGATGACTGACTGACTGATTTTGGTGATGTATTCGCTCTCTGAAATTTATTAGACTGAAGAGCGCTGTTATGGACGGGTCTGAATTTATCCTGGCTAACCGGATTTCATAATTTTGCACCTCAGTATAACACTGGTGTTTTTGCAGTCCACTTTGATCAGAAAGTGACCATGGACAATGGTTATCGAGCCCAGCACCAACACACTTTCGTGGAAGTTTAGGTGCTCAGAGAAGTGACAAAGAATTGTTGATGAACGATGGTAAAGAAAGAAGATGTGAACTTGAAGTGAGGGCTCGTGATTTTTTTAGTTCAGCATCATTCAGCCTACAATGTTTATGATTAGAGCTGTGTGAATAGCAAAATTTTGGGTGCAAAGAGAATTTGAATAATAAAGCTTGAGTGCAAATCGAATTCAATAATTTTCAAATATTCCTATGGTATTTTTCAAATACTTCAAAGCAAAATTATAGAAAAAATGTTTCAGATGATCCCTGAGCAGATTCTAAATTATATATTTTTTTATTATAGTTTTACAATGGCACAATCACATGCTACCATCTTAGGCTTGCCGAAAAGGACATTTCTCAGTCTTTGAATTTCCCACTACAGCTAGATGATCCAATAAAAAACAAGCATACAAAAAGCAAATGTATAAAGTTTGTTTCGAGGTCTCCCAATAACTGCGTCCGCCATTTTGCTCCAGCATGCCTTGCCATTCGCTCGAGGCATGCTCCGGGAGAGCAGCATCTACTGCTTGCGCATCGCGAGGCCACAGTCGACAATTGTGCTGCTTAGTGATGTGCTCACTCACTCTGTGTTTACAGGCCGATGGTGACTTGAAAAATGTTTACACTTTAGCTTGGCAGCTGCAAGCGGAACCTCAGTCATGAGATTACATAGTGCGCCACAATCGTTGCGAACATCGCACACGTGCACCTCGAGACGACTCACTGGTCTCACGGTTAGAGGTCTTGCTTTTTAGACCTCGCGACAGAGACCATCGCTGGACGACTCTTTGCACTCGCGTTCAAGCATGATGTGCTTATTGGGCATTACGACCACGCACACCGCGACTGAGCTTACTACTTGGAGTTATGGCCAGGCCCAACTCACTCTTGCTGGCTTCTATGCACAAGTGAAGAAGCCGCAGTGTGTTTTGCCACAAGCAACGAATCTCGTCAACCACTGGCTCTTCAGAATCACAGGTGAGCATTTCACCCACCGGCAGCGGACCCCACGGGCAAACTTGTCACGCAGCGACCGCTTGGAGCACCGGTGAAAGTGCCTATAAACTTCGCATTTTGATGTCCCAAAACTTAAGACCAAGCATACTGTGTGCCGACTTATCATTGTTATATTTATTTTTCATTATTATAAACCTTTACATTTATTTTCTGTTATTGCAAGCCATCATATTTATCTTCTGGAAGTTCCAGTAGTTCAAATAATGAAATCCCGGTACAAATCAAATTGAATAGCAAACACTATTTGAAAAATATTTGAAAGCCTGAATGTTTTCACGCCCCTAATTATCAAAACCACTGTAGGCAACAGGAGCTAGTCAATGCCTGGCTGCTACTCCCCACGTGGCAATAAATAAGCCGAGTTTTACGAAGCCGTGTTCCTGTCACTTCCATGTTTTTGTTGACTGCTGTTTAGAACAACGCTACTTGAAGAAAGTTCAGCCAGAATAACAAGTGCAATCTTCTTTCAAGCTTGCCTGCTGCTTCGTGAAATGAGAAAAATCGGCACTCCAATTCGCTGATGGTCTTTGCAACGTACTCAAATAACGCAGCAAAGGTGAATATCACCCAGTGAAAGCAGCAATGACTTGGGCGAGAGTATAGAAAGGGAATAAGCAAGCCAGGGTGTTGAATAGCCCCGCAAAAGCCCCAGTATAGTTTCGGAGAGAAGTTGTCAAGTTCAAGAGAGGCCAAAACTATGAGCACTAAAAAAAGCACTTTTTACTTTTCAAAGTGACAAGCATGAAAGCAAAGATTGAAAGAAAGAAGATGTAGGCAAAGAGATGTGCAGTTTATGCAGTTTAAAAAGATGCAAGTTCATTTTCGTCGCTTCTTATAAGATTCTCGCATGACATCTAATGGCAGATAAGAGGTTTATGGATAACAATTCCAGGTACACAGGCAATAATGCGCAGTAAGATTTCTAGCTGCAATAAAATGGACACGGTACGCACCTCCTGGAGCTTGAGGTTCAGAGTGCGTTCCGCAGGCGTATTACCGATCGCGCCGAGAGCCAGCTTCAGTCGGTGTTCCGATTGAGACAGCAGCTGTCTCACGTGAAGGAGATCCTGACTATATTGCTCGTCCTGAGAGAGAAGAAACATCGTAGGCAACACTTTCATTGGATCAAGATTAAATAGAGACAACGGCGCCGTTATAACAGTGGACAGCCAATGTTGGCTCTCACTGTGGTATTGTAAAAATTGATCTCCCTGACTGTGTTAAACCGCTCTCAGTACGACGTACTCGTCATGGTCATGATCAAGCTCTAACCCCAATTTTTGCCCGATCAAATGCTTTTAAATATAGTTATTTTCCTAGAACTGTCGATGACTGGAATTGTTTGCCGTGTGACATCTTTCATTCTAATAAGTTTCTTGGTGACCTTGAGCGTCACCTTCTTTCTTAACCTTTTGTTTCTTTTGCATTGTTGTCTGTTGTTTTCTACAATTATGTTTTGATGTATCCACTCCTGCTTGGGCCAGCACATTGGCCTGCAGTATTGTGAAATAAATAAATAAATAATAAATTTACTGTCATTCTGCCAACACTAGCTGATACTTTCCAATGGTTAGCAAACACTAACAAACAGCAATTTTTTAGTCAACACTGTCAATTTAATCCATAATTTAACACACACAAGGCGATATTAACCAGTTCTGGTGGTGGAATCAGTCGGTTCATCAAGACCGGATGATGTGCCTCCCCCCTTTGCACCTTGTGCATTAAAATAGACTGACATAGAACATTTCGCATTCTACAAATAAAGCTGAAAGTTCCACAAAAAAAAGAAGGGCTTTATTCCACAGCCTGCAAATGAGAAGTTCTACGAATGTGAGCTTCAGGGTCGCATTCGCTGAATGACCTGTCGCAATTAGGAAGTGAGCCTAAAGGAATGTCGCACAAAAATCGAAAGAATTTCGAAAACATCCAAATCCTGCATGAAAGGCTTGAATGCTCCAATAAACAAAGTTCATTTCACATACTTTTGAACAGTTTATTGCATCTTTTGGAAAATGGCTAGCGCACGCGGAGATCCCTATTGACGACAGTGATGCCAAGTGTCCCTGCGGCAAAAGCAGCGTGCGAGCTTTGATGTCCAGCTAATTCCCTTTCTCCATCTCTCCTTTACCATCCACTCTACTCCTCACCCACTCTACTCCTTAAATAAAAAAAAAAAAGAAGGGTGCTGGGACGTGCCTTACCCGAGAGCATTATACATTGCTAGTGTTGCTCGCACTGATTTTAGGAACTGCGGTATCACTTTAATAATTGCCTATGGCTTTTTAAGCCAGTTTACGAGCCCCTCATGCGAATGTGAGAGATGCTCAGTAGGACTAATTGCCATCTACATATGTCAGGCTAACCCGGTTTGCTTCAGCACCATTGCAACAACCACCTCTGTTGCGACAGGCATCTGAAAGCGGCTCTCCGACTTCTCTTTCTCAACAGACGTGACGCAGCGCAAACGCACAAACGCTCAACAAGACGTGCCTGTGCGAGGCAGGCAGACAGCTCCTGGCAGCGGCTGTCCAGCTTCTCCTGCAGCCCCTGCAGTTGCCGCGACAGTTCCAGCACCGTGGCCACCATGGCGTTCTCTTCGGGTGCGTACGACGACCAGCCACGGAGGTGGACCCGCAGTTTCTCCAGCGACATGGCCATCTTGGTCTGCTGGCTGGACAGGTCCGCCAGCATTTTCTGCGAGGACGACAAACTGTAAGTGTTATCCCTACGTAGTTCAGCTCATTTTTGTTTTATGAATCGCGTGCGCGAAAACAGCAGGTTGTTAGGAAATGCTCAGCTGGTAGGCTAATGAGCTCAATTTATTGGACTGACTCTTTGACCGACCTCTTGGGTTGGTTTATCAGCATACTGTCATTCATTAACTGATCCACTTATTGGAGACACCTGTTACAATTCTGGTCAAGATTTGTGATGGCTTACAAACCTTGTCTGTGCCGTATGTGTCAGAGGGAGTGACAAAACCACCCAGAATAGGTAATAAGATGCTTGTGCAGAAGTTAACGAAAATGAAAGTGTCATTCAAAGTTTTTTCATCAATGAATTATTCAAAAGACCACGAATTGCAGTGATGTAATTATTTACACCGTTCACAATGTCAGTAAGGATCAAACTCCGAAATTACCACAGAAAGTTGCAAGAAACGATGTGTCGTGTCATCTCATCAAGAGCTTCGACCCTGTGTGACCGAGGCACTCAAACTACTGTACGCAGTTTGTAGTTATTTGGTGCCACTTGTGGGGAGCAGGTGCGCCCAGCCTCCCTTTCCCTTTTAGGGCAGCGCACGCGCCTGGTTGCGGGGACCCCTTCCCCCACGGCCGGCGCGTGCGATTCCCCCCCCTTTCCCGGCGCCAGGAACAGGTTCCCCTCTCCCTCAGCGAGGAAAGGTACCATTCTCGTCAGGGAGAGGGAAATCGGGTCGGGGAACAAAACGAGCGGGCAAACGGGCGCTCGCTCTCTGACACCAGCGACCATCCCAGGAGGACGAACCCGCAACCCCTCCTGCGAGCCGAGGACGTCCACGACCGAGGTGTAAGCGTCAACACCTTTGTTATCTGTAGTATCTCCCCGCGACAGTGACGCGCGATTGCTAACGCTTAGCAATAAAGTGTTTGTTGTTGATCTGGCCAGTTGCCTTATTCGCCCGAACCCGTAGTAGTAGCTGCAATGAGGCAAGCTACGGTTGGGGGACGTTAACCGTGCACGGAACGACTGTGTGCGGCTGAAACATTAGCTATAGGCTTCTGCGTCAGCCGTACATAGGACGGTCCCCAACGCCCCAACATCTGGCGCCCAACGTAACGAATTTGGCAACGCGGCTAGTTCTGTGGACGCGAGCAAGTGCCAGGGCGCTCTTCCACACGTAGGATAATAGGCATGTCGGAATTCCAAGATTTGTCAATGTTGTCGGATGTCGCGTCGCAGAGTGGCGATCCTTTGGCTAACGCGGGGGTACTGTTAGGACTTTCCGACAGCGTAGAGCTTGGTCGTTTCACGCGGGATGATCAGGAGGGTGCAGAGACCGCGTTAGCAGAGAGTAGGCCTACGACGGAGAGCGGCCCGCATGGCGCTCCGGCATCTCGCGACGCGAACAGAGAGGCGCCGCCACAAGTTACGACACGCGCCTCAACTATAGGCGAGTCTTCGGGCAACAGTTTGCCCTCGAGCGAGGTACTCTTACAGAATGCGCTGTCAGTTATGCAAAGCCTCGCGAGCGCCCTGCAGAACACAGCGCAGGCCCCCGTGCAAAATGTGCGACCACGTGTCAAGGTAGACGTTCCGACCTACACGGGTTACCACGACTGCAAGAGCGCCAACGAGTATCTCGACCGGTTGCTCCATTATCAGCAGGCGACGGGTCTTTCTGATGCCGAACTTCTCGAGCGCGTGGTCCCGGTGTCGCTCACGGAGCAAGCGGCTCGGTGGTTCCGACTAACCGGACATCGCGCCCGTACGGTAGAAGAGTTCCGCGAAAGCTTTCGCGGCGAATTCCTACCGGCTAATTATGAGTGGCGTTTGCGGAGGGAGTTGGAGCTGCGCACCCAGCATCCGGACGAATCCTTGCTGGAATACGTACGGGCGATGGACGAATTGTATCGTCTCGCGAACCCTCACGCCACCAACGCGGAAAAGGTCGAGCGTGTTACCCGACAGGCGCACCCGACTTTCGCGGCGCACTTCAGGGGATGCAGGTTCGCAGACCTCGAAGAGCTCGCCACCGAGGCGAAGCGCATACAAGGGGACATCCTCGCAGCGCGTTCGTATCGCCCCCCTCCGCCCGCCGCGCAGTCAATCGAGCCTCGCTGTGCATGGAACGGCGGCGCAGTGACTTCAGAAGCGTTTAGGGGTAACGCATCAGCATCGTACGCTGATGAGCACGTGTCACGCGGTTGGGAGCTGTCAAACCGCGCTTTAGACCCCTACGCTTACGCGCTCCGTACGGCACACGCCGCCCCTGCGCGTGACATTCCAAGGCAGGAGCACGTGGTTGACGCGAGGCCTAACGAGCGGCGCAATCCAGAGCGAGGACCACCTGATCGAGGCGAGTTACGAGCGAACCGGCGTGGTGTCCGCGGTCCTTGCTATCGGTGCGGCGCGCCAGGGCACATCGCTCGCGAGTGCGACCGCACGCCGGGTCAGGAGCAAACGCGCGGTTCGGGAAACGGACGGCGCCGCCGGTGATTCACATGGGACCCCGCGCGGCGATTAGTAATCCTACCGATGCGTTCGGATCACTTGCACCGTCGGTCTGTCGCGCAGGTGATGCCGTAGACTCGCCCGCGCCGCTAATCGAGTTAACGATAGCTCGGAAAAAGTTCGTAGCACTTTTGGATACTGGGGCAAGCGCTTCTTTATTCGGTGACGATGTGTTGCACCATCTCCGCGAGAACAACATCCGCTTGAGGCAAAGCAACACCATCTTCCGTCTAGCTACGGGCACAGCACAATCGAGCGGCGCGGCTAGGCTAGTGATCCGCTGGGACAGACGCGTGAGGCGACAACGTTTCGTGCATCTTCCAGGGCTGTCAATGTCTCTAATCCTGGGTCGAGACTTCCTCGCTAAGTCGGGTATTGTCATTGACATTGCAAACGGTGGTTACCGAGAGCGCGACGGAGACGCGCTGAAGCTTTTCTCGAAGGCCTCCGCATTGACAAAAGCATGCCAATCGCAGGGAGAGGCGCGAGTACGCGAGGAGGAAAGCGCGCCGAGAAAGCGAGTAAACGCCCCGCCGGAGCAATGTGCTGCGCTGCAGGAAAGGGCAGTGCACCCGCTTTTGGTACAGGCACAGAGCCTACTAGAGGGGGAACGAGCGCAGCTGTCGTCGCTGTTGTACGAATATGACGCGATGTTTACTGACTGTCCCGGCCGCACTACGCTGGTTAAGCATAGAATTGACACGGGTGATGCACGCCCTTGGAAATGCAATCCCCGACCAATCAGCTTAGCTAAGCGGAAAGCACTAGACGCCGCCTTGGACGAACTCATCGAAACAGGCGTAGTTGAGAGGTCAAACAGCCCATGGGGTTTCCCGGTAGTTCTAGTTCCAAAGAAAGATGATACGTATCGCCTTTGTGTAGACTACCGCAGGCTGAATGAAATTACGAAGAAGGACGCGTATCCTCTTCCCTCCATTTCATCGTTAGTATCCAATCTAGGCGGGGCGAAGTACTTCACAACGCTCGATGCTAGCCGCGGATATTTTCAGGTTGAGATGGACGAGCGGGATAAAGAGAAGTCAGCTTTCACGTGCCACAGAGGACTTTTCCAATTCAGGAGAATGTCGTTTGGCTTGGTGGGCGCTCCCGCTACGTATCAGAGGCTAATGGACCGTGTTTTGGGAGATGCAAAGTGGCAGCACGCACTCGCATATCTAGACGACATAGTGGTTTACTCGAAAACGTTCGAAGAGCACGTGCGCCACTTGAGAGACGTTCTAGAACGGCTGAGGTCTGCGGGCATCACTTTGAACCCAAACAAAGCTCAGATAGCGGCGACCCGAATAACATTATTGGGATTTACGCTTGACGAGGGTCGCATTTTGCCGGATAAGGGTAAGCTTGAAGCGATAGTGAGCTATCCATCGCCGAACAATGTCGGTGAGCTGAGGCGCTTTTTGGGGATGGTGAATTTTTATCGCCAATTCATTCCAGATTGCGCGGCAGTGCAGGCGCCTTTAACGAAGCTCTTGAGGAATGGTGAGCGTTGGGCTTGGAGCCAAGAGCAAGAGGCCGCACTGCGTCGCCTCACGAAGTTGCTGGCCAACACGGCTCAGCTGCAGCTACCCGATTTGAACAGGGAGTTTGTTATTCACACCGATGCAAGCGACCTGGGCTTAGGAGCAATTTTGCTTCAGGAGCATGGAGGTTCCCTCCGACCGATTGCGTTCGCGAGCCGTACGTTGACACCGGCGGAGAGGAACTACTCAGTAACCGAGAAAGAGTGTCTGGCGATAGTTTTTGCTCTCCGTAAGTTTGACTTTTACATAGACGGAGTTGCGTTTGTGATTGAAACGGACCACATGGCGCTCACGTGGTTGAGGCGTTTGAACGAACCAAGTGGCCGATTGGCGCGTTGGGCATTGTTGCTGCAGCGTTATGACTTCACCGTCCGCTACCGCAAGGGTAAGAACAATGCCGCGGCCGACGCACTATCGCGTGCTCCAGTTCGACACGAGGCAAGTCACGCGACTAATTCGGAACGAACTGAGAGCGAGACACTCGCGCTAACGCAAACAGCGGAGCAAACGTTAGTTCGAGCTAAGAGCGTGAACCACGTAGAGGCTGTCGTTAGCGCAGGGATTGTTTTCAGCAGAAGGGAGCTGTTAGAAGCTCAGCAGAAAGATCCATTTTGTCGAAAGGTGTTCGACGGGCTCCGGGAGCCGGGTGGTAGTGAGGCCACCGCGCACAAGGGGGCAGCTGGTATTGCTGTCGGTGCGGAGCGCTCGGCAACAGCTGGTAGTGCTGTGAGCGCGCTGGATTCATATCTGCTAGATTCTGACGGCGTCCTGCTGAGGTACATTCCATCCGACGATGACACAAGTGAGTCATTTAAAGTCGTGATACCGCGCGCGTTGAGAGGAGCGCTTCTTCGCTACTTTCATGACTCGTGCATTGGTGGGCATGCGAGCGGCCCTAAGACTTACGCTAAGTTGTGTCGCCTCGCTACCTGGCCAGGTATGAAGCGGGATGTGATTCGCTACGCCCGTTCATGTCGTGTGTGCCAAAGCGTCAAGCCGCGAGGAGGACGTCCGCCCGGCCTCATGCAACCGATTAACAGTCAGACTCCCTGGCAAATCGCAGCGTGTGACGTAATGGGCCCGTACCCCTCAACTCCTAGCAGAAATAAGTTCTTGCTGGTGATCACGGATCACTTCACTAAATGGGTAGAACTTTTTCCCCTTAGGAAGCTGACGGCTCGAGTGATTTTAGAGAAGTTGATGGAGGTTTTTACCAGGTTCGGGTTCCCCGAGCAGTTGATTACAGACAACGCGTCTTATTTCACTGCGAAGGTGTTTGTTGACACGTGCGCCGCGTTGGGCATTAAGCACAAGAAAACAACCACCTACCATGCTCAGTCGAACCCCACGGAGCGAGTCAATCGCAACATCAAGCACATGCTTGTCGCGTTCTCTGAAAGACATAAGGACTGGGATACCTATCTTCCAGAGATCGGTTTTGCATTACGATCGACCGTAAACCGATCGACTGGGTATGCGCCTTCTTCTCTGAACTTGGGGAGAGAACTGCCGAATCCGATGGAGACCGTACTCGCGGACCGCAGTGGAGTGCCAGTGGCGACATCAGCACGCGCTGAATACGCAACGCAGCTGCGCGAGAAGCTAGCGGAAGCTTTACATAAAGCTCGACATAATCTCAGCACTGCTAGGGCACAGCAGAAGGCGCAGTATGACCGCACGCGTAGGAACGTACACTACGAAGTGGGCGATCTGGTGATGCGGCGCCATCATGTTCTCAGTAATGCTAGCAAACAGTTTGCTGCCTCGCTGGCACCGAAATGGTCCGGGCCGTACCGAGTGCGAGAGAAAGTTTCTTCGCTCGTTTATCGACTCGCGAACATGAAAGGCAAACCGAGCGGCGGACCGGTGCATGTATGTGACTTGAAACGCTACATAGCACGGGAGGCGCATGAGGACTACGGTCAGTCCCCCTCCAAGCCGCGCGCGGCGGGTGAGATGGTTCGACACCGGGTCAGGAGCCCAGAACCGCGCTACTTCCTGCGTAACAGTCGGAGGCAACTATGCACGGTAGGCCGCGTTTGATATGTTCGACGCGGGGTGCAAGGGTTAGCGCGCAACACATGTGCGATTGTTAACCTGTCGTTCTTTATCTGTATCACTCTCACCGAACAGATGGAGCGCCATTGGGAACAGCACCGCCGGAACAGCAAGGAGAGGAGACCACCTCCTTACGGCCAGCCCCCACCCCCACCAACGTCCACATGGCAGCCCTACCCCACTGCGGCCCGGCCGCGAACGCCGAGGCAGAGCCACTCGAGCCGCCGCCACCGAGGGGGTCCGCGCGCGCTGCCGCCTGGTCACCAACTCTCGGCTTCGCCGTCACCATCACGACCCGCCGGTTCACAGGGAACGAGACCAGGGTCCCAACGCGGCGAGCCGACCGCATCGCCTCACGGCCGCAACCACCGAGACGTGGCAACCTGGACCAGCCAGGATGGAGGCGACCCTCCGGTGTCTTACGTCTCCTCGAGGCCCTGGCGCCGGCAGGAAAGGGCCCGAGTTGGGGTCGCCCCAGCGCACCTGTATCGCCCTTTTCAGGGGCGCACGGTAGAGGACGCGGACCGGAGGGCTAACGGGGCTTGCCTTCCAGTGCCCGCAGGGACGCGGTTCTGCGAGTGCGGCGCCGTGGTGATCCATAACTCCCACGAATTGGGGAAATTACACCGGCACCGCACCCAGGCTACCCAACCATCCAGCCGCGAATCATCCCAGGAGCGCTCCGGCGCCGCGGTTCGGGCCATGCTGGCGCGGGCGGCCCAGGAGGCGGACTTCGCGCAGTGGCTGCTGAGAGTTGCCTCAGGCCACGCGTCCAGCGAGAGTCCGCCTGCGCCGCTATCAATAACGGCTACCGTAGAGCGGGGGGCGGCGGGGCCGGGAGAGACATTGGTGGCGGCTGCATTGACACCGGAGGTGGCGTCAATGACCTTGGAGGCGGGTGAGAGAGCGGTGGGGGCTCCGGCGGTGCCCGCGGCAGACACCGAACGGTCCGAGGGCATGGACGTAGACCAGGCCCTTCTGGCCTATCTAGAGGACGAATAAAACGAATTATTCCCTCTTTGCAGTCTCTGTCGTTCGGGGGCCTTCTTAAGGGGGGAGGAGATGTGGGGAGCAGGTGCGCCCAGCCTCCCTTTCCCTTTTAGGGCAGCGCACGCGCCTGGTTGCGGGGACCCCTTCCCCCACGGCCGGCGCGTGCGATTCCCCCCCCTTTCCCGGCGCCAGGAACAGGTTCCCCTCTCCCTCAGCGAGGAAAGGTACCATTCTCGTCAGGGAGAGGGAAATCGGGTCGGGGAACAAAACGAGCGGGCAAACGGGCGCTCGCTCTCTGACACCAGCGACCATCCCAGGAGGACGAACCCGCAACCCCTCCTGCGAGCCGAGGACGTCCACGACCGAGGTGTAAGCGTCAACACCTTTGTTATCTGTAGTATCTCCCCGCGACAGTGACGCGCGATTGCTAACGCTTAGCAATAAAGTGTTTGTTGTTGATCTGGCCAGTTGCCTTATTCGCCCGAACCCGTAGTAGTAGCTGCAATGAGGCAAGCTACGGTTGGGGGACGTTAACCGTGCACGGAACGACTGTGTGCGGCTGAAACATTAGCTATAGGCTTCTGCGTCAGCCGTACATAGGACGGTCCCCAACGCCCCAACACACTATAAGGAAGGAAGGAAAATAGGGGGAAAAGAACGGCAGGGAGGTTAACCAGCCTATGGGCAGCCGGTTTGCTACCCTGTGCATGGGAGAGAGATGGGGGAAATGAAAGACAGCGAGCAGAGAGGAAAGAGAGAAACACAGCACATTCGGCAGCACACGCACGCACACTCAGTCATAGTATGCCACTATAATTGGTACTAAAACTGCAACCTTCATACTGTACTGGGACCTTCATTCTGTATAGACAATTCAACTTTATTTCATACGTCTTACATAGTGAAAAAAAATTTTATGCGGACAGACAACACTGCCTTTGCGGCAGCAAGTGCAACGCAGCATCTAGACTAGCCATGGTGTCCTTCATAGCGTGGCATAGCACTTCCAAGTGCTTTAGCACGAACGTAATTTTCTGAGTGAGTACGCTAATTTTGGCGCCCTGCAAGGCAAAAATGCCATCAACTAATCCTGCTGTAAATGGATTCTGTAAGTGCTCAATATCATTGCTGGCATATCTGACCCCATTCCAATAATGCAGGCAAATAATTACTATCGCGCTCGCTTGTCACTGTTTCCAGCAACTGTTCAGCACATGGCTTCAGTCGAACTTCGGTGTAGTGAATATGAATATAACAGGTTGTCGGTTCTAAAGAGGTAAATGGGCTTTGCTACTAAAACAGTGCCATGCATATACATCTATAATGAATTTCTGGATATAAGAGCAATTTTCATGCCAGATCAACTTTGTTATAATGGTGTTTAACTATTTCTATGGGCCATGCTGATAGAAAAGTTTCGATCATTCTTCGGCATTTTCTGCATTACCACAGTAGCAGTGGACACTGACTAGTAAGCTTTTCTTTGCAGTAGAGAAAATTCGTTGCCAGTGCACAAAAATTCGTTGTCAGCCTCAGGAATATTTACTGTCAGTTCCTTTAGCATTTCATTTGTATTGCTGAAACATTATGACTTAGTGTTATATTTGTGAAACTATATACTTGTGGAACTTCAAGTGTGGATGTGTGAACGATTTTACCATGCCACTCACCTCACGCAAGGCTAGTTGGTCACGCAGGCTCTTTCGCCGGAGCTGAGGCGCCTCGAGAGATGAGCGCGCTCGCTCCAACCATGTCTGACAGTCACGGGCCTTCAAAAGACGAGAACACATTCACGAGATGCACGCTTGCATTCTTGTACAGACATAGTTAAACACACCTTCTCCGGGCAGTTTACACAGAAATAGTGAAGACAGTCCTTTAAAGAGACTAATAAAAAATAAAAATAATAACAAAGCTTGATGCAGCATCTTCTACAAATGAAAATGGAGAATGCTTCCGTCCCCTCCACTACGGAGTGTCCTTTGAAGCTTCTTTATAGACTCGGCGATTTCAAACCTGCAGGAATGTCTTCACTGAACATCAACTTCACAGTGAACATCAACAAGAATCAGTAAATGCAAAGCAGCATTTTTTTAAACGATTGAATGAAAGTATGAGTACAAATCCTAAACCTTTCTGGCAATATCTAAAGGGATGTGGGTCTGATCCGGTTGGAATAAATGAACTTATTTTCGATGGACGCACTCTTTCCAATGATACGGATAAAGCCACGTGCCTAAATAACTACTTCCAATCCGTTTTTCTTCCTAAATCTGCATTGAGCTCATCCTTGACAAGTAGCAGTGTTCCTCTCATGGAACCTCTTGTAATTAGTGTCAGCGGTATTGAGGCCTTGCTCAGGAATCTCGACGACAGTAAAGCTATCGGCCCTGACGGTGTCTCTCCAAGAGTTTTAAAACAGTGCGTTAACCCCATTTCGCTCTACCTTTACCTGATCTTTGAAAAATCACTAAGCACTGGCCAGTTGCCACAAGACTGGAAAGTGGCAAATGTAGTCCCGATCCACAAAGGAGGTCCTAAAAAAGATGTCACGAATTATAGACCTATTTCGCTTACCTCGATATCATGTAAAATCATTGAACATGTAATATATAAGGCTCTAATGAAGCATTTATTAGATTACGATTTGTTAACAAAGACTCAACACGGTTTTCGTAAGGGCTTTTCCTGTACGACCCAACTTCTCGAGTTCTACAACGATCTAGTATCCGAAATTGATCTAGGTGGGCAAACAGACTGCATCTTTTTAGATTTCAGTAAAGCTTTCGACACTGTTTCGCATCCTCTGCTCCTCGAAAAATTACGAATATTTAATATAGATGAGAGAATTTTTAATTGGATAGAGAATTACCTGTCACAACGCCGCCAATGTGTTGTCCTGAATGGTACTAAGTCGGAATTTCTAGAGGTCACTTCGGGCGTCCCCCAGGGATCTGTATTGGGGCCTCTGCTATTCATAATTTTTATAACTGACATTAACAAAGATATAAGCTCAAGTATACGGCTCTTTGCTGATGATTGCGTAGTCTACAGAAAAATTCAGACAGAACATGATGTCCTTGAATTGCAGGCTGATCTTGCACGTATTCATCAATGGTGCCTTAAGTGGCAAATGAAGTTAAACACAAATAAGTGCGTTCATGTGTGTTTTACAAAGAAGAAAAAAATATTTGATGCAAATTTTTGTCTAGGAGGAAATAAATTAGATAAAAAATACTCGTACAAATATTTGGGTGTATTGCTGTCGCATGATTGTTCCTGGAATGCACATGTGGATTATGTGGTTTCCAAAGCCGCGATAGCGTTGAATTATATTCAAAGGAATTTGAGATGTGCAGATCCTAACCTTAGAAGCACGGCCTACCTCACTTGTATTCGTCCAATCTTGGAGTATGCCTGTACTCTTTGGGACCCAACACAAACAGGTTTGATAAATAAATTAGAAAAAATACAAAACAGAGCAGCCAGGTTTGTTTTGGGTCGGTACGGACAAAAGCAGAGTTGTACCGAAATGAAAAAGGAGTTAAACTGGGAGTTACTGTCGTCCCGTCGCAAAAAATTGCGTTTGAAGCTTTTATACCAGATATTTCATAAAAAAACGGGACTAGACAGCGACACTTACTTAAAAAGACCAGATTACATATCTCAACGTACAGACCACATACACAAAATAAAGCCGTGCCGGGCCAGGACGAACCTGTATTCAAACTCGTTTTTTGTTAAAACTATTAACGAATGGAATTGTTTGACATCTAAGCAAGTGTGCAGTGTTAATGAAGATGTATTTTTTTCAACTTTGTAACCCCCCTGCTGTAACGCCTCTGGCAAAGCGGGGATATGTATGAATAAAGAATAAAGAAAAAAACTTGATATAGGTGATAATGTCATGAAAAAACAGTCACCCATAGAAATGAAACAATGCCTCCGTGACAATGTCAAGAACACAATTAGTGAGAAACAAGCAGCGAGGCCATCAAAACACTAAATGGAAAGACCTAGCAAGTACTCAAAAGTATTTCCTAAGAGCTCAGGAGACTCTCGAACAGATCACTACCCCTCTTGCATTGCTGGCTGCAAGAAATAATAACATTAATAAAATATTTTCTATGCGTGATCAATACGTGACACATTTTACGTAGCAGCAATACTGCTGTAGTTTGTGGGGATCTGAGGCGCGCCTGCGACCATTTCGCGGGCATTCCGCCACACGGCCACACCCTTTCGCTTTCCTGCTCTGTTAACACCACGTGGCGATAGATGGCGCCACGTGCGGGCACGGCGCGCGCCACTGCGCGCGCCGAGGGAGCGCTCTCTTCTCCGTTGGTCGGCGCCGGGTAAGCACGTGTTTTCCTTCGTCCGCGTCCCCTTTGGGAATCGCCGGACTGCAGCCTGCCTGGGGTGGCCTTGGGCACCTCGGCAGGCGTGTTTACTTGAGTGCTAGCTTCGGTAGCGTACGCTAAGCCCACAGCGGTGCCTAGTGCTCGAAGTGGTCGTACCACAACGAGCCGCACTTGCCGTAGGCCCAGCGCGTACGAGGTCTGCCCTAACACTCGCGACCAGGCCCAGTGGCCATCGTGAGAGTGCGCAGCATAGCCGCGAGGGACCTTTTCCCGACCGGCGTGTCAAAGCTCGCCATTGCCAGCTGCGACGTGCTCGCGGTTTTCCCCTTATTGTGAACGTCCGCGTGCGGGTGCCTTTGCTACCCGCGTCCCGGGAGCGGACGTTGTGCTCTTGTTCGGGGTGCCGCCAGAGGCAATAAAGTGTTGTGTACTTTTACATTAGAACACTGTCTATTTGCCGCGCCGCGCTAAACGCCTTATCAGTTGAGCGCGCGCGGAGCGGTGCGCTACACGCGAGTAAACGGAGTAGCGGCCCTGTGGCTCGCTAAGCGTGAACCCGCGGTGATCGTCCGCTGCAGTAAGAGCGGGGTCACCATACTGGCGCCCAACGCGGTATCAAAGGCTCATTAAGCCTTTGATTAGTCTTAGCCGAGTCAGCCCGCCTTTGCGAATTAGACTCGCCGCGTTTACCCGCGTTATGTCTGCTCCGCGTGAGTTCTGTCCGCTGACGCTTTTAGCAGATACCGCATTGCTCGAGAACAGGGCCAGTGCCCCCCTTGAGCATCACAATCGCGCACCCTCACTTGTCACAAGCCCCAGTCGGGATGACACGAGGCGCTACGTATCAGCTCCCATTGGAGAGGTAGCGCGTTTTGGGTCCGGGGCCATAGCCCAACCCGAACAGTGCACAAGGACATGGACTACTACTGCTCCCTTTGGAATGCATGGTAGTTCCATGTCACAGCGCTCCGAAACGGCTCTCAGTGGAGCTTCCGGGGCGCAGATCGGCACCGCGGCCTCAGCCGTTGCCGAATTTTGCCCGCTGGCTGCTACGCAACCTAGCAGCCAAGCTCATTTCGAGCACGCGCCTGTACCGCTAGCCGCAAGCGGCCTAGCATTTTCACGTGAAGCTGCCCCAAGAGTCGGCTGTGAAAAACAGGCGCTCCCCAGAGTCGCGACGGCCGGTATCCATTTTGAAACCGCGCCGCTTATCGAGCTCGGAGACAGTTCCCCATCGCTCGCCCGCGCCGCTAATGCACCGACAGCTTCCTTTGAAGCGGGCGCACAGACGCTGCTGCAAAATGCCGCCCAAATGATTCAGGCACTCACGGGGGCAGTCCAAACGCTTTCGGCCATTCCGAAACGCCCTCATCCCGCTGTCATGTTGGCCGTTCCGACCTACAGCGGGTATGGTGATCTGCAAAGTGCAAGAGATTACCTGGACTCCCTCGCACGTTATCAGAGAGCCATGGGTCTAGACGACGAGGAAGTGCTCGGACGCGTCGTCCCGGCAGCACTGACTGACACGGCGGCCAGGTGGCATCGGCTTTCCGGCCACCGAGCAGCAACCCTCGAGGAGTTCCGCGCGGCCTTCCTGCGCGAATTCTTACCCGCTGACTACGAGAGTAGGATGCGGCGCGAGCTCGAGCTCCGCACACAAGCTCCTGATGAGTCGCTTCAGGAGTACGTACGCGCGATGGAAGACCTTTTTTCTATCGCTGAGCCCAGAGCCTCGAACGAGGAGCGCGTCGAACGGGTGATTAGGCAGGCACACCCGACTTTTTCGGCGTACCTGCGCGGCAGTCGCTTCCGTGATTTGGAGCAATTGGCCGTCGAGGCAAAGCGCATCCAAGGCGACATTCTCGCCGCGCGTTCCTATCACCCGCCACCGCCAGCCAGCGAGGCCCTCGAACCGCGCTGCGCGTGGGGAGGGGCCATGACCCTTTCTCAGCGGCAACAGCCCGCCGGAGCTGCCTTTGCGGCTACCCCTACAGCTGGGCGCGCGTGGGAGATAAGCGATCGAGCTTTAGATCCCTACACGTACGGGAGGCGGGCAGCCGGTGCTGCATCGCAACTCGACGCGCGCGAGCAGGGACGAAATCCGACCCAGCGCATCACCGGTGGTAACGGTCGTCAGAGCGGTTCCTTTGATCACGCGGCGAACCCACCCCGGCAGCTCGCAGCTGCTCCGTCGCGGGAAAGGGACCGCGATGGAGTGCGCTGTTTCCGCTGCCGTCAACGAGGGCACATAGCAAGGGAGTGCTCCGCGTTTGTGCCTCCTGTGAGGCAGGGAAACGGGAGCGCGGGCCGTTCGTGAAGGCACGAGCGGCCGAACCCTTGCTTCTCCCCTCTGCGTATCGGGCAAGCAGTCTTTCTGGTGCGCACGCGCCGTTTATTTCGGTCACCATTGTCGGTCGCAAATTCTCGGCGTTGCTGGACACGGGCGCAAGCGCTTCGTTGTTTGGCGAACAGGTGTTGTCCCACTTGCAGAAGCGCTCGGTGCGCTTGCGGGACAGCCGAACGACATTCACCCTCGCGAAAGGCGTGGCCCAGTCGGCGGGCGCCGCGAGGTTGACTGTCAGATGGGGAGGCCGAATGAGACGCGCGCGTTTCGTTCATCTTCCAGGGCTCAGTGTTCCTGTGATTCTCGGTCGGGACTTTCTCCTAAAAACCGGTATCGTAGTGGACATTGCGAATGGAGGCTATCGCGACGGACCTTTTTCCGAGCTAAAGCCGTTCATCAGCCCTCCGGCGCTTTCTGTTGCCTGTGCAGTTGAAGCGTCGAAACCGTGTCACGTGCAAACTTCGGGGGCAGGCCCCTGCGCTATGCACTCGTCGGCTCAAAATCCCCATCGGGATCGAGCGGCACGACACGAAGAGGCACGCATGGGCGACGACTGGCTGCCTTTGCAGACCGGTATATAGGGTGAATTAAGGAGAGGAGGATGTGGGGATCTGAGGCGCGCCTGCGACCATTTCGCGGGCATTCCGCCACACGGCCACACCCTTTCGCTTTCCTGCTCTGTTAACACCACGTGGCGATAGATGGCGCCACGTGCGGGCACGGCGCGCGCCACTGCGCGCGCCGAGGGAGCGCTCTCTTCTCCGTTGGTCGGCGCCGGGTAAGCACGTGTTTTCCTTCGTCCGCGTCCCCTTTGGGAATCGCCGGACTGCAGCCTGCCTGGGGTGGCCTTGGGCACCTCGGCAGGCGTGTTTACTTGAGTGCTAGCTTCGGTAGCGTACGCTAAGCCCACAGCGGTGCCTAGTGCTCGAAGTGGTCGTACCACAACGAGCCGCACTTGCCGTAGGCCCAGCGCGTACGAGGTCTGCCCTAACACTCGCGACCAGGCCCAGTGGCCATCGTGAGAGTGCGCAGCATAGCCGCGAGGGACCTTTTCCCGACCGGCGTGTCAAAGCTCGCCATTGCCAGCTGCGACGTGCTCGCGGTTTTCCCCTTATTGTGAACGTCCGCGTGCGGGTGCCTTTGCTACCCGCGTCCCGGGAGCGGACGTTGTGCTCTTGTTCGGGGTGCCGCCAGAGGCAATAAAGTGTTGTGTACTTTTACATTAGAACACTGTCTATTTGCCGCGCCGCGCTAAACGCCTTATCAGTTGAGCGCGCGCGGAGCGGTGCGCTACACGCGAGTAAACGGAGTAGCGGCCCTGTGGCTCGCTAAGCGTGAACCCGCGGTGATCGTCCGCTGCAGTAAGAGCGGGGTCACCATAAGTTAAGAACTGCAAGGTGGGAAAAACTTTCAGGTTAACATTTTCGAAATAGCAACATGAGGCAAATGATGGAAAGGAGTATAGATGACATGAGTGCCGACTCACAAGTAAGCGCTTCAACGCACTAACAGGAATCCGCACGCACAAATTAAAAACGCAACAGAGGAGTAAGGCATGCCAGGAGCACATTTAACTCACGAAGACAACTCCTCTACTGTGCAGGATGATAGAAGCTCGATTGATGCACAGAGCTTAATCTCAGAGCATGTGGTAAGGCTCGATCAACATGCGTTTGACGAGCACAACGGCTTCCTTGGCCTAGTTAAACAAAGTCAACTTTCCAGCTTCAACGAGTAGGAGGCCCGCTAAGGACAACCTGCGGGAGACGACCGTCCAACGCACCTTGCGCTCGCACTGCTCCCACTCTTCCACCAGCTCCTGCAGCAGGGCCAGCTCCTGGACGAGGCGGCCCTCGAGGTTGCGCTGTCGTTCCTCGGCCGCGTCCAGCTTCTCCAGCAGCGGCCCCACGTGGCAGGAGCGCCCGATGCGCTGCACCAGGCCGCTCATTTCCGCCAGCTGGCCCTGGCCGCTTGCCATGTCCCGGTTGACCTCCTGGAATGAAGAAGAAGTGCTAGAGGTCAGAACAGCAGATTTCTTGAACCGGTTGGCTCTACATTCGAAGCTCAGGACTATCACGAGCATGGATGTAACAAATTATTGGTTAAGCTAAGAAAATTAAGAATATTCTTGTCATAGATACATACTTACGTACATACACTCAAACTTCATTATAAAAAAGTCAGATCTGCCAAGAAAATACTTTGTTATATACAAAAATTCGTTGTAAACATATATTCTTTACACTGTGTCTACGACAAAACTATTCTTCACTTACGTCGTTATATCAAGGTGTTTGTGCATAACAGCTTTTCGAATATAATAAGTTATTTTTATGTCAGATGTGGCTTTGTGATAAAGAGGTTTGAATGTAAATATTGATGTGGAACAGGCGTCGCCGAAGGAACAGGCGTCGCCGAAAAGCGTAGCAGATGTTCTGCCCTTTCTGTCTATCTTTGCGTGCTTAAATAATCCCACTATAAACAAAAAAGCTCTCCATCCAATTTAACTAGGTAGTCCTCACTTGCAGCCAGACCTTAAGTCCCTACTACACAGATGCCGTGGATGCCACATTGAATTACCGTGGCAAAACACCCACCTGGCATTGGGACAGGCACTGCCTTGCCACGGCCAGTGTGTTAAGTGGCTGACGCTTGGCCACTGCCAGCTCCTTTGTGTCCAGCCACGTCTTGTGTGCTTCGTGGAGTTGCAGGAAGCGGGCCCATGCCTCCAGGGCATCTTCTACCTCGCTGAGGCGCTCCCGGATCCACGACTCCACCTTTGTACAGAAGCAGTCAGAGCTTTTACTCAGTGACAGCGAAAGCCTAACCAGCATTAAGAAGCTGGAAAGACGGTAAACACTTGATGCCCCAGAAGAAACACTTCATGCCCATTAACAACTGAGGATTGGAATCGGCTTCCAAATGCAATAGCCAACGAACGAAATACTGTGAAGTTTAAAACCTTACTAGAAACTCATTTTACAACCGCACCGTCGTAATTTCTGTGTAGACAGTTGCCTTTCCCTCATTTTTTTAAATCATGCTATTAGTTGTATAATGAGTTCTGTTTTTATTATTGCCCTGTTATTTCAATTCTTGAATTTTAACCTACTTTATGTTCTCGGTCTAGAATTGCCTTTGTGTATCCTTGTTCGACCCCCTCCCCCCCTTATGTAATACCCTGTCAGGGGCCCTTAAGGAAAAATAAATGATGATGAAGAAGTGATTAAAGGGGTTAAGTAGCATATAGAGTATTGCAGAGTCATTCTATTGACAAATTCATTGCAACAGTGAAGGTACTTGGAAGTAATGTACTAGAAGATAGCTAAAACCTGCCAAGGCACTAATAGACGCACAATGGCACAGGTCAATTGAACAGCAGTATTGATGTTCGAAAACATTTCAACCTGTAACTGATCACATCATGAGGATTCTAAAAGACCAATGCATATTTTTCCCATTTAGTGCAATTATTTCTGTTCAGAATAAAGGCAACACTGTTGACAGTCGTTTTCAGTCCCACGAATAAAATCAAGCGAGTACTCAAGTACGAACCAGTATTTGCTATAAAAATATAACTGTGAATCCGTGATTTGATCACAGAGTAAGCAGTGCCTGCAATTCACTCTGCTAAGATAAGCGGTAACATTAAAATTGGAGCATGGCGTACTACTAGAGCTTTAGTCAATGCTGAGACAAAAAATGTAGAGACATGAGGACAACATCGGCAACTGCGCATATAATGGATAGTGAGCATGTGAAAACTAAGTGTTACCTGTTGAAGTTGGTCAGTAAGAGATGCGATGGTGGCGCGCACCGACCTGGCCTGTTCGGTGTCGCCCAGGCACTCGACAACAAGATTGCCACTCTGTACGACACGACGCTCTGCGTCCCGGCGCACTCCGGGCACTTCGGCGTTGAGGGCCTGTGGGAAAGGTGGAAGACAATTGTTTTATTGCCACCAAGGAAACAAGCACAAAGACCAAAATATGACATCTCTAACACTGCATGAAACATAACACACTGCCGATGTGTCTCTGCCCTACCAATTTTGTAATTATAACTTAATCTCAAATCAGTTGACATTTGGGAACCTGTACAAGTGCTGTGTTCACAATGCAGTGTGAACACTGTCATTATGAACACTGCCCAGTTGCAGTGCATTGTGAGCAGTGAACTTGTAACTTTGTAAAAATCAGCGTGCCCAGGACCGAGCACAAGACTTGTGCAAGTTTTGAAACACAAACTGATCTCTTTAACTTTATCAATAACCATAACTTAATTGGTAACATTCTGTCTGACCAGGAAAGATTTCACTAAATTCTTGGCTGCAATATGATCTTCATTTAATATTTACCAAGTGCATTTTCGTGCATTTCATGTTAATTTTAATTTTTGCATTGACTGTTACATTGCCACATGACATTATCCTGCGCATATAATGCTTGTCTTGTTTTGACGTAATTGTAACTCCTTACTTGGCCCAATGCCTTCCTAGAAGCCATTAAAGTATTCACAACTAAAACAAAACAGGACTCACCACAAGGTTCTCCTTGGTAACTTCCGGAGAATCTCCCTTTCGTTGCAGGATCCCCTGAGCCTTTTGCAGCCACGCGGCCAGTGCTTTGGAGCCTTCACAGTAGTCGGCCCGGGCGGTGCGAGCCTTCTTGAACTCGCGCTCCTTGCCTTCGAGGGCGGCCATCACGTTCTCCGAGAGGAGCTCGACGGAGGCCAGAGCCTGCTCCACGACCTCTGGCACACCCTGCCGGCGCTCGCTGTAACGCTCGTGTGCCGAGCGGGATGTGGCTCGCACCTCCCGGTCCAGGAAGCTGAGACGCTCGCGGAGCATCTGCGTGATTTGCGAAACGGAACTTAATCTTTTCAGGCTTGTCAGCGCGTGAAATCTCGCGCGCAATACTGATAACAAGCGGCACGAAAAAATGTCTGGACGAAAAGCGGACACGCTGGACAATCGCAGACTTCCGACTGATTATTTTATTGACGAGAACGCGTTACATATCTATGAGTGAGAACAGCTGCAAAGGAAACAGCTGTACTAATAAAAAAACAGCAAAAGAACACCGAGAAAAAAGAAAGAAAATTTAATGAAGTGGCTTGCTGGACAGACCCGGACATTCCCAGAAACTGAGATCTCTGTCAGACAGAGTGACTGATGCTTTACTTATGCAGCTGCTCCTCTCTTACAATCCAAGCTGCCTCGCTGATTAAACAAGGCTTGCACATCCTTCATCTTATTTATCACTGTAGTACACTGAAGCTATGAAATGCACCCACACATTTTTTGCACTGTTTATCACCAGTATGAACATCCAATTAACTCGGTTAACGTTCTTGTGCGTAAACTTATTCTCGTTATTTATTCACGTGCTTATCTTCAACCATACTGTTGGTCTATGTTGGGAAGCTAGACAGGAGGGGAGACATGTACACAGGTGATAGCACTACTAATATGTGATATGGATGGCAAAAAGGCGTACTGGAAAACATGAAAGGGCTTGTGTGGATAAGACGGGTGCAAGGGAATGCGAGCTGTAAAGTAGAAAGCCTTACAGTGACAAAGAACAGAACCCAATAAGAAACTTGTCAGTTAAATCTACAAGAAGAGGTAGTGAAAGTCCCCTAAACACAAAAAGCAATGCTTGCTATAAAAAAAACTCGGACTCTTTCATCGAGTGAAAGGCTTAACTTTGCACACAACCCACAAGGAAGGAATGGGGGTGACAGGACCAGAGTGCCACTAACAATTGGCTAACCTTACTGAGCACACAGCGTTTATATAGTTGGAAGGCAAAAGGGACTGTGCTAGCGGATATTATAGCGTAGAGCAAAAAAACACAAAATCCTGATAGGCACAATGCTTAATGCTGACATGTTTTGTGGGTTGGTAAGGAAAAGATAGTGCCTATAGGAGGAGTAGTAAAGACGAGAAAGATACTGTTCTCTTCATCTTTGAACTTGGAGTAGTTTAGGGGCCCCTTAATGCACTGTCACTGAGACTTTCACATTCGAGTTGCCTTAGTGATAGCATAAGCGACCCTTAAAACTTTTTTTTTTTTTCAACATGCGCTGACTAAGCCAACAAGTGAGGGTTATGTCCACGCACCTGGAGATTCTTCTGGACCTGATCCTCATCATCCCCGCAGGTGGGGGCTGCTCCGATGTCCCTCTCCATCTCGAGCAGGCCTTCCCGAAGGGAAGCGACCTTCTCCTCGAAGGCAGCCTGAGCTGCCCTCTCCTCACGGACACCCTGCAGATGCTGCTCAATGGACTTCTGCAGCCTGCGATGGGAGCACACAAAAATAATATGGTCAGTCAATCAGTCAATTAATAAATCAAGCCGGCAAGCAGTGAAGTGGTCATGGATACAAACTTTTCTTTCTGGTAGTGTGCAAGCTCATCTAAGAATACATATTACACTAAGGGAACGTCAAAGCGTGGCAAAGGGCACTATGCCGACACAAGCACTGCGTCGTTTCACATTGCTACACTTGATGTAGCAATGTGACACGCTGTGTTATACTCGCAGGGCTGGGCAAAAAAAAATCAATCAGTCAATCAATCCATCAATCAATCTATTTGTTCCAACCACATACAGAAAGGACTGTGATAAAAATATTAGCTCTTAGGGCAGCTTAACTGCACTGTTTCATACATCAGGTACAATGCTTTGCAAGATATGCAAGATGTGTGGTCAGCAAAATGTATTAGTCCATGCATCTCATGCTTAGATTTTGTCTTTGTAAATGTTGCCTCCGTGACTGGCTCCAGCCACGTGCTACTGGAGCTAACCATGGAGGCCACAGTTCCAAAACAAAAGACACTAAGTAATCTAGAAAAGTCTATTGACAACTGCATAGATAACAGTCTTTTGTTTATTTCTGAGGCACAAAGCATCTTTATTACTCACTCTAAAAATGAAAAAAAAAAAGTCACATTACAGATGTTAACATCACTGCACAATTTTAGGTGCTCAGGCACTACCAAAAATTTCACAAGGTTCTATAGTGTTGCACCTGATGTATGGAATGGAATGCAGCTGACAGCCTCATAATAAAAATTCGAGCAAACACGGTGATCAGATGAAAATTTCAGGAGGGTGGTAGTCAGGCAGGCTAGTTTGGTACAAATTTATTGTGACAATTTGGAAGCGCAAATAAACAGCACGTAGTAGGGTGGAACACAAACAAGTGCACCTTCTGTGTCACTAAACCTCTCTGCTAATTCCCGAAGACTTACTAGTGGTCCAGTTGGTTCATAATAGCTTAGCTTAAGACAGCGCACATCAAGGATGACACCGAAGCAGACACGTATAAAGATAGACATAGGTGTAATAGGTGCACCCGTGTCTATCTTTATGTGTGCGTTTCGCCTTTGTTTTTAATGTGTGCTGCCATAGCTATCAGAGTTGTTTATTCGTACCTTCGAGTGGCTACCAAGATTCTGCAAAAATGTGTGGTATGCACATTTGACCATTGATGAATGCACTCGGGGTTGGCTTTCTGACACTTCCAACATTCTGAAATGAATGTTAAGAGGCCGTATAACCTGAAATGCTGCACCACGACATGAATTTTTCAGTAATAAGCTCTAGTTAAATGGAATTTAATTCTTCTATTACAGCTTTCATATAATGAAGTCGGACATTATAGGTCTGTAAACTCACTTGTAGGTCTACTCACTCGGACTCGCTGATACTCAGATCGAGCTGTGGGTCTGAGTGAGTCCGGGCAAGTAACATTATGGTGAGATTGAGTCTGACTGAGTCCGGCTGAAGAAAGTTTTCAAGAGTGAGAGTCCGGCTGAGTCCGGCTCGGGAAAATTTGGGTGAATCTGAGTCAGAGTGAACCCAAAGCGCGAGGTATATTACGTGAGCGAGTCTGATTGAGTTCCATTTTTTTTGTTTGCCAACCAACGTTCTACTGTAGTGAACCCACCTATAGCTTTATGAACGTGCCTTTCTCGACATGCTGATTTCTGAAGATAGGTACTAGTGAAAAGGAATGGCTAAAATAAATGCACCATACAGGAAGTGAGAAGCAGTGCGTAACAGCAAAGAGTACATTACCAAATAACTTTATAGCACAAAAAACACAATATTAGAAAGACAAAACAACAAGGCACTTTAAGATGCCATTAGAGCAAAGCGGAGAGGCGAGCGAGTTGGAACTGATCCATCATGGTGTAAATGTAGTGCAAAAAAGACAAGGAAAAGGAAGTGTACACCACAATTCCTGGTGTACACTGGTGTACACTTCTGGTGCACACTTTCTTGTCCTTGTCTTTTTCGCGCTACATTTACACCATAATGGGTCATTAGATCCTTGTCTTGTCACCTCTCTAGCGTTGCGTTTTTTTGCACTAGAAACTTATTATGAGTAAATATTACCCATTTAGATGGCATTGAGCCAAGCTAGCATGTCTGCTTGTCTGCTTTAAGGTGAAATGTGATCGGGTCAGCAATGCCTTGTATCCAACTCACAACACCCCACATAATATGTACATTATACAATGGTTTGATAAATGTGATATGTGATAATATGTGTTGGCAGAATGCCAAGGCATTTTGCCAATGTTTGATGACACCAAAGCATAGCTATTGGGATGAGGCATTTCATGGGACTCGGGCTCTACGTACATATGACAAGCAGGTCGATGCAGCTATGACAGATGTGAATGTCAAGGCCGTGTCACTTTCACAGATGCCAACACAACGCAAAAGCTCAAAAACAAGCACTGATGATGATGGTGCAAGGCCTTGGAGATTGAATAACCTGCGAGCAAACCGCAATACTTGTGACCTTCATGTGGCTCCTACAGAGGCAGTTAGTGCAGTGTTCTCTAACTGAATTGTAATATCAAATGCTACAGTATACCGACTGGTGTCCACGACTGGTCGACATCACTGCATAACTTCACTACAAATCTGGCCACTAAAAGTAATGTTGGCTCTGATGTAACTAGATTCGAAATTACACCGATCTGACACGAAGTGAAGACATTACAAGGAAAAATATATGCGTTACATAGCGGTAAATCATGGTGATTAAAAAATTCAAAGAATAGAGGAAAGATGCAACCTTCTTTACCCACAACAATAACTTTTGCTTTGCTTTCCACTACAGTTGTCGACTTTTTTAAAGCACCGGTGAGCCTGTATAAGGCATTCCAAATATTAGGTACTCACGTGTCACATAAATGAACACACTCGCCTCTAAGAAGTAGTAGAAGTGACCATGCAGATAAGCTTTTCTGTCCTACTGTGTCACTCATGTGTATGTTTGTCCCCGAGTTTAGGTTCAATAAATTGAACATCATCCAACTAGCCTAATTAACAGTCTTGATTCAGAATGAATGCTGACATATTTTCAAAGTAGTACAAACTCTGTCGCATGTGGTTCTTGTGTGTTCATTAGGTCTGAAAGTTAAACACTTATAAGCTAATCCAATTTGACTTTCAGAGTTTGTCGCGGGCAAACTCTGAAACACATGGACAGGCATACCTGGCAAAGGTGAAATTATGGTAATGTAATGACATAAGATGAAGTTGTAATGTTACACTAGCCATAGATGCCAAGTACTAAATTATGGTTTCATAATCATTCACGAAGATATTCAACTGATGCTTCCTGGGGTTCAGTGGCTTTTCATTTCTATTTAATAGAATATTACCATCAAAAAATCATTTTGATGCAACTTAAAAAAAAAAACTATATTTTTTTACTTTAACATTAGAACAAATGGTGCAATATGGATGCTTCTGGTGGAATATGGATTGTTTCTTTTGCAAGGGGAATTCCTTTTTCATACAGCCTGTACATTTGCATGAGTATGCACAAACAAAGACACGACATTTTACCACATGTATGTTGCATAGAGTGAGATACTTTCTTTACACCAGGTATCACACAGTAACTGACAGTGATAAGACTGCTGGCAGCCATTGCATCACAAAGGGGTTTCACTGGAAAGTATGTCGTGATGACAACTTAGATACAACCACACAAAGGCAAGATAAGCTCATCACACAATCTGGCAGAGTCTTTTGGAATCTGTGGACAGAATTTTTGATAATCTGTCGATATCTCTTTCTAAAACAGCAAAGCGACGATAAATGACAAAGGAGAGCTAGAAGAGAAAAGTCCTGCCACTTAATTGGGTCATTAAGTAGGTGAAAAGGATGTTTATTGACTTTGAGTTTTGCAGCGTGGATCTCAGATGACTTAATTCCTGAATCAAGCACATTTCTGACATGACTGGCGGAAGACACAATTGTAAGGAAATACCAGTGATAGTTAAGAGGTGTTCGGCATCTTGATTTTTGCACACTGAAGTCAAGCAATTGAGGTTTGCTTTGGAGCTGCATATTTGCAAATGGTCAACTTTTTATCGGTTACTTGCACATACAAAATGTTGAGACGACTGTGGACACTAAAATCTGTCATTCTGATCACCACATTTTGGACAATATATCTTAGAACATATTTTCAAAAACTTGCACATGTCTACAAATCTTGCCCAAAGTTCCCAACGCAAGACTTTCTCTCTCGATCTCTCCTTTTTTTTCTGCAAGAAATTAAGATCCGTTCGCGGAATTCAATAGCAGCGCGGCCACGAAGTCGTGACGTCACACTTTTACGACGAACTACTCCACGCACGTTAATGTTGATTGATTGATTGATATGTGGGGTTTAACGTCCCAAAACCACTATATGATTATGAGAGACGCCGTAGTGGAGGGCTCCGGAAATTTAGACCACCTGGGGTTCTTTAACGTGCACTCAAATCTGAGCACACGGGCCTACAACATTTCCGCCTCCATCGGAAATGCAGCCGCCGCAGCCGGGATTCGAACCCGCGCCCTGCGGGTCAGCAGCCGAGTACCTTAGCCACTAGACCACCGCGGCGGGGCACGCACGTTAATGTGACGAAGGAGGTAAGAGAAATCAATCCGCAATCGGCGCTTTAACTCGAAAGCAAACGCATCGCCGAGGCGGTTAATCTTTCTGCACACGCCGTGCTGATCTTGTCACTCAGATAAAAACCGAGCAAAACAACTATCTCCGCGGACACAAAGGCTTGCAGCTAGCATGCGGGGATACTATCTCCGATATCGGAAAAAAAAAAAAAAAGCCAGCTACGTGCGACGCTTTGCAAATACGCGTGGCGGACAAAACCATCCTGCACGAGATCAGGAAAGCCCGAGTTGACAGCTCTTCGTACGGCGCGCTGAGCAGTCGTGTTCGTTCGATGCCATTAACCGACAGGCGGCCGGAGGGCG